ATGCCCACCATTCATATTAAGTCATGTTAGATTTTGGTGTTTCTTTCCATTAGATTTCTTTTGTAAAATTATGCCATTTTAATTGTGGTTGGCACCCCCTTTGTTTGAAGGAGTTCCTGGTTTGCATGTTTGGTCAGATTACTTGACACAGGTCGAAATTTTTTTTTTTTTTCCCATGGAATAACTTGAAGAAAAACTCCACTGAGCAGGCAAGGTTCTTACATGCTGTCACTCTGAACTGTCATCTGAAGAGTTTGCTCTTAGCACAAGAGCTAAGTAAAATGCTTGCTTTGAGGGGTCCTGTAAGTACACAGCTAAGAAGTAAATGGCTGCAGGATCACCCCATAATCACTGATTAATGTAGACACTCTTTGTGATTTATTTGTGGTATTTGTGATTGGTTTTTGCTGAAGAGAAAAGGGTTGATAATTAGCTACTGTTCTTTGAAAAAAAATCTTTGTTATGTTTTGCATATGCTAGGTGAGGATTTTAAACATCTGGACATTTCAAAGTGGGCATTTAGGGATCCACAGGGGTGGATTCCTGATCCTCCACAGGCAACTTGCTTTTGGGTTTGGATCTTCATCCACCTTGTTTCTAGCAGAGAAAAATGCAATCATAGCTTTATATATTAAGCTGCATTTTGAAAACAAATGAATGGTTATGATCTGTTTATCTATTGTATATTAATACACCTAAACTAATACAGAGAGTTAGAGCGAATGTGTGTGTCTGTTGTGTTTAATCCGTGTACCAGTGGACTCAATAATCAGGTGATGTGCTTCATCTACAGATCTTTTGGAAAATTTCTCCAGAAAGGGAGTGTTTCATTATTGAGGCTGACCAACTCGCATGCTATGGCAACCACAGCTGTTTTATGGTGATTATAATAACAACTCATTTAGCAATGAGGAAAAAGTAAATGAAAAACCAAGCACCCCACGGCAATTTGAGGTGAAGCAATAGAAAAAAAATTGGCAACCATAACCATCTGCAAGCCGTGGTTCAAAACAGTAGCTTTATATTTATTTGGAAATAAATCAGCTTTATTTGGAATATTTCTTAACTGCTAATCAAGTGAATGAATTAAATGGCTTTATGTTAGATCTTGAGTCTGCTCACATCTCCTGCTTTTTTGGCTGCCTCTGTCTTCTCTTCGTCTGCAAACAATCACAGGTGACAATGTAAAAATAGAACATCCTAAGAGATTTTTGAGATCCTGTGTTATTCTTACGGGTATCTTTTTCCATTTCCATCCATCTGCTCATCTTTCTTTAGAGCTGGTTTAAGCAGCTGAATTTTGTGCTCCTTTCTTTTGGAAATGGTGATTTCTGATCAGACCTTTTCCCTGGTAGGTTCCTTGCTGGCCCTCATTTGATGGCCTTTCTGTCTCTGGCTTTTGTGTCAGTGCCCTTTCTGGGACTGGTTACACTTCCAGTAACTTTCCTCATAGTTTTACCCTGCTTTGTTTTGCTGGTAAACTAAGCTGTTGCTGGTTGTAGGTTGGTTTTAGCAAGTTTTTCGTTGATCTTAGAATGTTATGCCTTCTTTTAAAAATCTTTATATATGCTGCTTTGTTCTTGTCTAACCAGTTCAGTTTCAGTTCCAGTTGGTCATCCTAGATATTACCAGACTTTCAGAGCTCAAATCTAGTTGTCTTTTTTTTTTTTAATTCTAGTTTTGTAAATACATGTTCAGCATTTTTAATCAGTGTGATTATATAATAGGTTTAGCACCAGCTTAACCTAGAAGCTACCTTAAAAAAACTAACTGTGGCTGTATTCTTTAGATCTTGCATGTATTCCTGGCTTTAATCATTCCAGTAGCCAGAAGGCATCTGGCTACATTTGTAAGCACTTAATCAACTTGTTTTGCTAATTGTTTATACTGGAATTTGTTGTCAGCATCTGGTTTTACTTGAGGTGCCTAAATATCTGTCCAGCCTTCTGTCTGTCAGTCTCTTCAGGAGCTATTTCTGCTTTAATCACTTCCTGAAAACTAATGAACAATGTTAAAATTATGTGGATTTTTAACACATAGTTATATTATAGATACTGGAGGATATTTAAGAACTTTTCTTAAGCAATACAGCTTAAGCCACAGAGCTCTACTTTTGTTTTTATTGCCAGTTTATTTTAATCTCTGTCCTGTGCAGTATTGAGTCATGCTAAAAATATCTTCATTAGATTGCCATTGATCTACAGCAGGGCATTCAGGCATGCTGTGTCTGAGTCCTGTGATAACTTTGCTTTAATTAAGTTATTAAGTATATTGGAAAATTAAAACCCTAGTAATTTTAATTTTTTTTCAGGTGTTCCTTTTCTAGGATTCTCCAATAGTTGCACTGATTTATCTAGTTACTTATATTTAAATTTGCCTGTTAATTTTAAGCTGGCTTTGTTATCCTCTTAGAAATTTTTTAAGATTCCAGACTTTGTACTTAATACATATTTTGTGAGTGACTGAAGCACATTTTATGCAGAACTACCATTTAGGAAGAATTTTTAAATCAAATTGTTATATAATACGACAGCTAATCTGTGTAACAGCTTTTTAATGGAATATTGGGTTGGAAGAAAAATTGATTTGGCATCTCTGCTTGGTAGTTTAAAACCAACCAGACACATTGGCTAGCCATGCTCCTTCATTTTGCTTTCTAGCCTTGTAAACATTTCCACATTCCATCTGTGATGTCTAGTCCATGATGAATAAAATATGAAGTAATTTAATACCCCATAATATGTCAAGGGGGTTGCTGTTTATTCTCAGACTTGAAACTTTTTAAGATCACGTGCTGAAAGCTCTCGGGGTTTTGCTACTCATTTGGGGCCCTGCCTGCGAGGCTGTGGTGTATGAACATGCCACGTTCTCTGCAGTGTGGAGGGAAAAAAGGGGGTTTTTTTGTACTTTTATTTATATCGTGACTGAGGAGGAACAAGGATGCTGAGGAGGAAGAAGGAGTTAGCTCGTGTTTCTCTTCCTGTGTTTGGACTCACAGAGAGGGTACAGCGCCCGTGGCCATCCCAGTACCGGCCTCGTGGGAGCTTCCATCCAGCACGCAGCTGGGGCTGCACCACGGAGGGGAGCTGGGAGCCTCTGGAGCGCTTTACCTGCAGACCAGGATGCAGGTTACCAGCCAGGTGAAGGGATCAAGGCTGTCTCTTAGCAGCTTTGTGTCCTCAGCAGCCCACACCCCGGTGCCGGTGCCGCAGGCCGGAGTCACGCGGCGCTGAGGGCTCACGTGTGCCCGATGCTCCGTGTGTCTGTCTGTGTGTTCCAAGAGTGTTCTCTGCCCTGCATCTTCACATTGCTGAGCTCTGCTTGTGCAGCCATGCTCTCGGGCCAGGATGCCAAGTGTCTGCACCCACGTTTCACTCTCGGGTAGGATAACTTCAAAATGTATTCTCGCTTCCAGAGTCTGTGCTGCAGCATTTCCAGAAGCATTCAGTGTCTGTGGAAACATCAGTGGGACACAGTAGTGGCAAAAATCACTCTTGCACCTTGTCTGTGTTGTCCCTAACTCGTCCCTCCACATGTAAATAAAGATTACAAATGTGCCTTAGCCACTATAGTTATTAGCAAACATTCCGTAGTCAAAATTTTATCTAAATGGGTAGCCTTCAGTTCTAACAAAGCCTTTTGTTTCTTGGTGTACATCAGTTTAAATAATGAAAAGAATACAGTTAAAATTGCTGTTTGACTAGTAGTTACTAAACAGGATTTTTTCTTAAATCAGAACATAGTGCCTCTGACAGTGAAAAATGGGAACCAAAATAGCTTGAATCTGTTATTTTAAACAGCCTGACAGCTAATATATAGTCTATATCTAAGTGTGAATGAGATGTGAATATTAAAAAAGGTATTAAAACAAGTCATTGGATTTCTTTATCTGTAGTGCTTTCTTCTCAGAAAAGAGGACACCATCACTCCAGATGATGACCTGTGTTTTGTCAATTAAATTGCTGTAGGTTCCTTGCTGAAATAATTATTAGGCAAGCCTTCCTGAAAAGGTTTGTGACTTGCATTCTCCCGTCTTGATTACAATTCCCTGGCAGAGACCAGATTGCTCATCAGACTGCTAGACATTAGAAAATCAAATTCAGATATATCAAACTATGATCCCACATATGAAAATGACAGACTGTACTAAACATGCATGAGTTGGTTTTAGTCTTTCAAATATCCATTTTTTCAGCTTGCCTTTGTATCCAGGCATTTGTTCAATATACTGCCATAGAATATTTAAGGAAATCATTTCAATAATATCTTTCCATGAGGACAGTATCTTCATAAAACTACTTCTCTTCACTTTCTATTTCACATCAAAAAGAATTTCAAGGTATAGATAAGTATATTTGCAAGTTCCTGCTTGGCTCTTTGGTTTCATTTTAGTCCATGATCTGTACAAACTTCTCCTTGGACAATTAAGAGTGTGTGATACTTGCAGGACGTAATGGGAATTGTGGTTTTGTAGTGAACAGTCTCTGGAGTTGTCTTCCATCTGAGTCTTATTGTGTGTTAAAGCCATCTGTGTGACTTGCTGTTACCAATATTGTCTGGACAGCCCTAAATCAAATCCTGAATGGGCAGGATTGCAGAAGGCAGGTTTATACTGGTATCCTTCAGGTTAAACCCACTGATGCCCAGGCTTTTTTTCCTCCTGGCATAAAAAGTATTAGCAAGAGGTAAGTTTGTGCTAGCTGTCCTTGTTTCACCAAGATCTATCTTCTGCAAACAGGCTTGTGTTTACAGAAGCCAAAGTGAAAATAGCATGTGAGCAGCATAAAGGCACTGCGGTCCAAATAGTTTTGTATTTGCATAACTGAGCAGTATTTAAAGGATTGCCTGGCCTACTTTGGGACAGTTTACTATACAATTTTCCTTAAAGTTTGCTGTCTCCAGGCATCTCTCAAGAAGAGGAAGTTAAAGGCTCTGATTCTAAACAGTAATTTCTACTTTCTACACAGAAGTAAAAAACGACTTTAACTGTCTTGTTCCAGTTTTTGATGAATGGACATTGACATGGACTACGAAAGACCTAACGTTGAAACTATCAAGTGCGTGGTGGTTGGAGACAATGCAGTGGGAAAGACTCGTCTGATCTGTGCCAGAGCCTGCAACACAACCTTGACTCAGTATCAGCTGCTGGCAACGCACGTCCCGACCGTCTGGGCCATTGATCAGTACCGTGTCTGCCAGGAGGTAAGGGCTGCAGGTGTGCAAGGTGTGCAGCACATGCTGTGAGGTGCTGCTATTGTTTCTTGGCAAGCCTTACCCTGCCAGGATGCAGCAATGAGCTCACAAGTATTTTATGAGTGACCTCTACTGCAGCCATGCTCTGATACACCTCTTGTTCTAAAGTGATTTCTTTATCAGACCTATTTTTAGGGATGTAAGTATTCTGCCTGTTTTATAAGATACATCATTTGGTAAAAACTGCATGAGATAGACCTTTGACCTAGTATGTTTTGGACCTTTTAGCGGGGTGAATTACGAAGTAATTGTCTGGTGGAGGGAAAGAGAATGTTTTGTTTGTTCTCTTCTAGGTCCTTGAACGCTCAAGAGATGTTGTTGATGAAGTGAGTGTTTCCCTCAGGCTGTGGGATACTTTTGGGGACCACCACAAAGACAGGCGCTTTGCTTATGGAAGGTAAATTGATCCAAGTAAAATTTTAAGAAATACTTGCGTTCAAATTTTGGGGGTAGAAATAAATTGTAAATCTGAATTTTGGAAAGCAAGGACTTAGCAATCACGGGTATTCATGTTCCTGCCCACTGCAAAGAGGATTATCTGCTGCAGGGATTAAAAAGATACAAATATTTAAAAAGCAGCATAGTTTTACTACGTTACATTTCCTTGAGCAGCCTGCTAAGCTCTGTCAACAACTGTTGTCCTATTTTGAATTTTAAAGAACATTCTCCAAAATAAGATTGTAGTTTCAAAAAATTGAGCATGAGCATTCTCTGCCTGTATAAGCAGTGTTTGATATAATTGCCTAACAAGCAACAAACAAGAAGAGATGTTGGGAAATATCACTCTCAATCAATGAAATATTCATTTTATTAAAAGCTGTGATGTTGAATGGGCAGCTAACCTCTTGAGAGCAGAGCTAGATTCATGAAAGATGAGGCTTTTCTGTATTTCCTTAATTGAAGCTGAGGTTTTTCTTCTATAAATATAAAATGTTTGTTAGTGAATCAATTAACCCTGGAAATTCTAAAAAATACATGTATAATAAATATATATTTAAATGAATGTGATCTAGATTTTTCCAGCATGTATTATATATGTGTGTGTATATACGTATGCTTGTAAAAGTTCAGCGTAGTTTCAGCAAGGACTGAAGCCAGTGATAGTCTTTCTGGTTTGTTTAATTAGATCTGACCTTGTGGCAGTACAGACAGCAGAACAGCTGTATTAGGCAAATACTGAGCTGAAGGTGGGTTTTGGACATATATTTTCATAACTCGCATTTGAGAGGTCTCAGTCCTCACGCATTTTTTCACCTTGTTGAACTTTTTCATAACCTTTTCATATCTGCTTCAGTCACTGCAGTTGATCAGACCTTCACAGACAGAGACATTTTTTTTCTAGCTGGGAATGAATGCCCTTTGTATAGTGTCAGCCCCAGCTTTTTATTGCATGTGGCCAAAATGTACTGTCTTGCTGTTTTTCTTCTCTCTGTGCTGCCTGATGACACAAGGGACTTTGAAGGAGGATGGTCTTTTCTATTCTCTACCCTTTAGAAATGCTGTAGAGGGTTCTGCTGGTTGAATCCACCCATTAAATTTTCAGGCTGTAGAACTCTGTGTGTTTGTACAACACTCCTTTGTGTACAGCACTGTTAGTTGATTTTTCACAGAGATTTCATCAATTACCTGGAATTTTCTGTCGGGAGCTAAAGTGGCAACACATCTGGGCTGCACAACCTGTACTATTTATAAATAAGCTTTGTGACAGAAGTTACAGATTTTAAGGTAAATATTACCTTAATATTTAGTGCTACTGGAAGATGTCCACAGATACTGTTTTACCTTTTGGCAGCATGTGGAGTCTGCATTGATAAATTTGGATGTAACTTCATGTTTCCACTCACTGTTCCGCTTTGATGTGGCCTCCCGATATTCTGCAACAGATACTGTGTCACTGAGAAGATTACTGGAGATTAGGAGAGCAGAATGAGGCATGTTCTGAGCCCTGATCCCACATTTACTGACAGGATGGGAGAGGGAGGAAACAACATACTTAGATTCTAATCCTGCAAACGCCGAGGAGGACGTGAATAACTGGAGATCTCGAGGATTAAGCATATGAACACAGTGATTCATTTGTGAGGTTTGCAGAACTGAACTTGTGTAGAATGAGGTTTGCTATATCCTAATTAGCTTTAAAAGGCTGTTCTGGAAGCCTGCTCTCTTGTTAGTGGTTTTTCTGCAAGTCTATTAATGAAATAGACTGAAATAGAATTTCAGTTTTAAAATATTATGATTGTAACCACTGCTTAGGTACTTGGTTGTTTTAAGAATGTTAATGTAGCATTTAAAGCAGACTGTTTAGTATTTCATCTGGGTTGGCATTTTAAAACTAGTTTTTTCAGTGCTGAATGTTCATATTTATAGGAATTTATTTTAAATCACCTCTGTACATTGAGCTGCAGTCTAGTCAGCTGTGTCAAATCTTGCAATACAGTGAAAGGTCTATTTCATGCCAAACTGCTCAAGGTTACACCTGCAAGTGCCCCGTGTTTTGATTGTCTGAAGGATCATATACTAATATAATCCTTTGGTTCTCTTAAAAAAATTCTGTGCATCTGCATCTTATGCAGGGGAAGGCTTACTCCAGCAAACACTCAGCCAAGACCTCTAATTGTCCTAAACCTGGTGTAACAAGAACCAGCAAGTCATTAACTCGCCTGCTGCTCCTTGGAAAAGTTTGCTCCATACAGTTTTAGAAAATGTTACATAAATAGATTATGCTATAGATGACAGGGTGAACAGTTAATAGGGCCTGTAGCACAGTTAAATCCTTCTTAACTTTATTTTTCACAGATAGAAACATGAAAGGAGGGGAAAAGGAATCTGTTTTCCACTATTTTTGTGTGACAGAACTAGAGGAACATTTAAATGCCACTGGGAATGGAATAGTTAATGTTTCTGTGCCATCCCTTAATGGGAGTATGGAGAGTGAGATCAGCTTGCATTCTGTTCTGTGGTGTTTAGTTTAGTAATCACACTCCTCTGGGAGCTTTGGGAAACAGTTCCTGACAGCTTAAGGGAGTGAGAGGGATGTGGCTGCAGAGACTTGGGGAAATGTTTGCTGCAGTTTACAGAATGACATTTCCCCCCCATCTTAGACTAAAGTGTGTATTTTAGTTTTGGAAATATCCTGTTCAGTTCAGCTTAGGTAGTACGTGATGCCAAACAGCCATTTATTGATAATCTCCCATAGGGTTTCATTTGGTGCGCAATCATCCCAAAATGCTGTAAAATGATAATGTCTTGGTTATGATTTAGTGTCTTGATTTCCAGCTCCCAGTCACCTCTTTGTTTAATAACAATCTACCCTTGGTGCTATTGTATTCTCTAAGCCTGCAGATGAGGTGTGAACTTCATTTAAAGCCCAAGTTGTTATTCTGTAGCAGTTTTTCTGGGAGGCAAGTGTAAAGACAAAACATCTTAATTTACATTTCAACTTGTCAGGATTCACTATCTCCCACCCTCCTGTCCAATCTGCTTTTGAATGAGTGTCAACATATCATCATGTTCAAGCTAATTCTAGAAGCTGGCTTGTAGTTCTTTTTCTGGCTTTTTGCATACTTTTCTTTCTTTTTTTTTCTTTTTTTTTTTTTTTCCCTCCCTCAGGTGAACATGTTTGGCTAATTTGATAAATAGCCTCTGTATCCTGGGTTTTTTAGCATGCAGCTCTAGTATGTGTAAACATAAGCACAAACCTGCAAAGAGTTAATTCAATCAAATATTTATTCTCAATACCATGAATGGGAGTTGTTAGCTAATTCAGCCAGGATGACTTATTTACTTGCAACTTAAATATGAGCTGTAGACCAAACAAAATCTGTTCATACAGCATGGACAGAAAACAGCTTTTTCCTCATGACTTACAAATGTGAATGAGTCTTGTTGTTAGACTGCTGACAGAGCCTCTTAAAATATCTTTAGAGTATTTCCTCCGTTGTGAATGGATTTTGTAAGCCTTGTGGGTATTGTATGTATGCAGAGGAACACATGCATTTAACTTCTTCTGTGTGATTACAATTCCCTTTACCAGTTACTCCAATGTAATTGAATCCCTAAAAATGTACCTTTGGAATGCTGCTGAAAGGAGTCCATGAGAACAGGGCTTTGTCACTGATAATCTGAAGACTTCCACCAACCTCCCTCTGATTTTTTTTCCCCAAGGGATAATGATGATGCTGTTTCTGTAAGAACAAAACCAAGGTAGCTTTGATGTAAAAAGGTATTTGCATTCATCAAATTCAGTGAGATTAGGGTGAGTTTGTGGCTTCACAGAGCTACTTGGTCTGCCTTTAGTTAGATCAGTGTTCTGTGTCATGGAGCAGCTGGTGCCTAAGCTGAGGCTGGGCCACCAGCTCCCCTCCTTTCTTCAGAGAAGGTCTGAGGTTTCAGAAGTGCCTTGTGAATGAAAGCTCACACATTCCCTGTGCCTCTCAAGCCATTGCTGGCCTGGGTTGGAAGTGATCCTCAGAGAAGTCTCTAGAGCAGAGGCGCTGAACAGACACAGGACAGTCTCTTGCTTCACTAGCAGAGGCTCAGCTGATGGGGAATCCAGATACTTTCAGGTGTCTCTCAGCTCTGCTGCTTCCTCTTATGTTTTCTGCTGCAAAAAAGCAATAGGCAGTATCCTAAATCATCTTCAGCTACCCAATTATGTGAGCCTCCCCTTCTGCTTTACAGTGGTTTATAACCTATTCGGGTTCTTCATCATATGATCATGAAGAACTGTGAAGAACCATTTTTACAACATACACATGTATTTGTTATGTTTTTTTTCTCTTTTGAGTTTGACTTAGGCCCAAGAAAGACTGTAATAAGCAGAGAGGGTCCCATAGACAGCTGTCTCCAGTAACTTTATTCTGATATGCTGTGTGTATGCACTGGTTTTTTTCTTATTTTGTTACCTGTGTGAACATTTGAGGCTGTTTCATTCAGCTGATGGGGAAGTAAATGCTTTATATACTGAGGCCGCTGAAATTAATGCAGACCTACTTCCCTCCTCTGCATCCCACTGTGGTTCCATACTGTGAGTGGAAAGAGGTTGCTATGGAATTTCTGTTAGGAATCCTTCCTTCTTTAGAAAGGTGTGTGCCAAATGGTGCTGTTAATGAGCCTGAGGCTCAACTTGATGTATATGTAATTTATCTATGATGCAAGGACACTTCCAATGCTTTAAGCCTTCCTTGAGGAGTAAAAAAGTGTGGCAGTTGTTATTTGTGGTATTACATAATTTCATATTTTGCCTTGCTTTCCTAAGTCAGGGGCTGGGTGGAAAGGGGGCATTTGGGCTCTACGCTGACAGGCTGCAAGGCAACATGAAAATCTTTTGGAAATTATAAGTGTGGGAAGCTACTTTCTGTCAAAATCTTGAGCTTAGTGAATTATTTCTTTGTGAATAGGTATCAGGTAGATTTCTTGTGCTGGTTTCCACTCCCAGGGTCTCAGGATCTCAGTCTGGGTTTCCTGGTTTTCCATGGCAGGGGAGTGGAAAGTGTTGGTCTTTAAGGTCTATTTCAACCCAAACTGTTCAATGATTCTATAAAGCATTTCTTGGTGTTCAAGTTTATAAAAATGTTTCTTGAATTATTCCTGAATTTTACTGGGAGATGGCTATGAAATTATGTTTTTAGAATAAATGCAGCTTGTATTTGTGAATATGTTGCTGCAGAGAGAAAGGACAAATCAGGTTTATTTCTGTTTTGTTCTTTCTCATTCTCGAGGTAACCAACACAAAAAGTAACTGTACAAAAACGGCAGTAAAATAGGCATTTTAAAAAATCATACCCTTTTACATTCCCTGAGAATATTAAAATAACACTGGTAAATTTTTAATGTTTAGGAAATATTCATGGATTATTTTAACCTGACAGGGTCTGCTTTTTATGAACAAATGTCAAACCAAACTTTATACTGCAGTGTTAGCAAGTTATAAATGTGCCTTTGACATTAATAGGAATCGTAGGTACTTTAATTATTAATTAAAGTTTCCAAAGGACACCTTTCCTCAAATGCTCACAGCTCTATGTAGCTGGTTAATCTTCCTCATACATTTCTGTCTTCAGTTGGTACTGAGTGCAAATTGTGCTTATGACTTGAATAAAAACTTAATTTATTATGATAGAGTGGCTGTATTTTGTGAGCTAGCAGAGCCAGCTGTGGTGCTGGTTCAGCGTGTGAACTCTGCCACTACCCAGGGCTTTCCCATCCGTCCTGTTCATGGCACAGAACCATTAATTTCTCTCTGCCCAGTGCAGAACTCTCAGGAATCTTTGTTTTATGGGGAAGTCCAGGTTTTAACACAGGATAAATAATGTGCAAATCACTTTTTTTTTACCTCTTTACTCTGTTATTCCCTTCATGTGGAAGGCAGAAAGGCGACAGTGTCCTTTTAGTGCAGTGCGGTGAGTTTTGGAAGAACCCAGCTTTGCTCATCTCCGTTTTACGGTCGCCCAGCAAAGGTCAGAGGTGAGGAGCTGCTCAAGGACCATAGTGGCAAAAACATGATACTCCTTTGGCAAGGGCTGTAAGACACGCAGGGCTGTGCTCTGGGCTGCCCTGCCCAGGGACACGGCTCACCCCTGGCTCCCTGCGGAGCACACGCTGTGCCCAGCCCAGCGCCGGGCACCTGGGGGAACTGGTGTGTCCTGCCTGTGAACGCCTGCTGGAGTTGTTTCCTTTTGGTTTTCTGGGAGAGGTGGTGTGTGTCTTGTGGCTTGTAAAGTCAGGAGGGTTGGGTCCTCGTGACTGCAATTACTGGGCTTAGGTATTAATTTCTGAAGGATGCTGACAGGCTGTCTCTGTAAGATGCTTAGCTGTAGTTAAGAGCAGCCAGGCAGCCAACGCTTGCCACTCCAGCAGTCGTGATGGCCTTGAATTAAACAACAATTGACCCTATTAGAATACATGTAACACAGAGTTTTTTGTACCTTAGCTGTACATTGATTTCTCTTTCTGGGAGCTGAGCAAATGTGTGCTGGGGTTTAGGTTTTACTCCTACCTGACCTTGAATAGAGCAAGTTTGAGTTTAAAGCATATTTGCCTCAGCTGTGCAGCAGACCATTGTGTTGGCTGCTTAGCCCTTCACTATTTACTAGAGAACTTTCCAGTTTCAAAAGGCCTTGTTCCTAGGTATGACAGATGTGTTGCAGTTTATATAAGACAGAAATTTGGAGCAGGAGCATTTCTCTTGCATTAAATTGATGCTCACAGCAGTCTCCGTATTGTGTGCAGCTATCTTTAGAAATAGCTGGATATATCTATGCCCTCAGTGAAATGTAGAAAGCAGCACTACTGAGGAGGTATTTCATTATTTAAAAGGTGAATGTTAAGATTCACTGCTGCTGATGCTCTGTACATGACACAAACTGCAGATACAACACATTGGTGCTAAATTAAAGAGTAATAGAACTGAGATAGAGATGGTATTGCTGAGCTTATCCTGCTGACAATTCTGTAGCAATAAGTTGCCTCCTCAAAATGTCCCTCCTCCTCCATATTTCTCAAGAGTTTAAATTCAGCTTTTTTTCTTCTTTTCTTTTCTATTTTTTCCCATAAGAGACCCAAGAGCTTGAGAACTGCTTGTTTATAAATAATGAAATTGCCCCTAGTTAGGTATGCCCTGAGACAGGTGTTCAATCATTTCTCTGCCTTTGGGTGCCAGCTCTGACAAGAGTTAGGCTGTGGTTCAGTGGATGAACTGCCAACCTTAATCCTCACACTTATAATTTATATAGCAAGTTCATTTAGTGAAGTAGTTTCGGTTTTCTTAGAAACCTTTAAAAGCCTGCAAATATTGCCATGCTTACTCTTAATTTAAGCCACTGTCCTATTCTATGGTTTACTGACCTTATTTTCACTGTAACGTTTATTTTTGCTGATATTGTAGAAGTGGTCATTTTGCAGTAGTTTGCCCTTCTAACAGGTTATTTATTAAAGACATTGGAGAATTGCTGTGCAAAGCACATTGCGAAGGCAACCACCTCAGTACTTCAAACAGTGCAGTAAAGGTATTTCTCCATGACAAGTTCACAAGTGACCTGTGTCTGCCTGTGTGGCTGTTCTGAAGTTTTGCACAGCTCCTCTCTAATTCCTAAGCACCAATGATCTTTGAACTGCAATTTAGGTGTCCAGTCAGCAGAATTGTTTCTGGAGCAGTGGCAGCCTGTGAGTGAGTAACTGTTGTGTAAAAGTAGAGAATGGAAAGCCCTACCTCTCTTCTTAGTGCTCCGCTCACACGTGCTGGGATCATCTCAGCATGGAGGGGCAGTGCTTCCTGGGTATGTGGCTTTGTGCTCCCATGCTTTTGTGGTGAAATGTGTAGCTTCTCTCACACCTCTGCACGAACAACATGTATTCTGACATCTGGGTGTCAGCATGTTTGTCAAAGAGCAGAGCACAGCGGAGCAGTAACAGAAATAGGTGAAACTGCAGCAAAAATCATTTGTGGGGTTTTCATCAGGTATTTTCTTGTTGCCTTTCTAGGTCCGACGTTGTTGTTCTGTGCTTTTCAATTGCTAATCCTAATTCCCTGAATCATGTGAAAACAATGTGGTATCAAGAAATCAAGCACTTCTGTCCTCGCACACCTGTCATTCTGGTGGGCTGCCAGCTGGATCTCCGCTATGCCGACCTCGAGGCTGTTAACAGAGCCAGACGGCCTCTGGCAAGGTAAAGTTTAAACAAAAATGAGAATTTAAAAAAAAAATCACCTTGGTAGTCAGGTACAGCACTTGCAAAAGAGAAACTGAAAAGCCTAGTTTCCTTTTTTTTTTGTACAATGAGAATATATGTGCTTTCTCCTTTTTTAATTCTGTTGTCTGAGTTGGTTAGTTCTTGAACACACACACACACACACACACACACACACACACACAGAGTTATTAAGTTTCCCACAAAATTTTTGTACATTGGCTATCTAAATATATTTGGATGGCAGAACACTACAGTAAGATAGAGATGGTAATAATTATTGAATGTTTTCTTATGTATGTTTATTCATGAACATGTGTATCATGTCCTACCCTCTCACGATTGTCAGGTACTGTTTTAAACTGGCAGATTCTTCTCAAATTTTCTTAATTCTCTCTCCTTTTTTTGTTGGAAATGTAATCCTAGATCATAGCAGAAAATGAAATGGTTGCAAATTAAACTTCTAAAAGTTCTGAGATTAAAAGAGTGTTTGGGGGTTGTTCTAGAGAAGCTTTGTTTCTCCCAGATACAAAATACAACCATTCACATATTTGGCCACAGCAGTCCCACAATAACTGGCTTGCTTCTAATTTATTCCTTTTATGGGAATTTCAATGAGACCAGATTCACGGAAATAATATCCATGATTGTGTAATTAATGACTATATTATAACAAATTTCCGTAAAGAAATGGAATTAATATTTTGTGGGCCCTTTGCATTGCATTGCAGTCAAACTCTTGACTTAGCAATATGATTTTTATAGGTCTGTTTGTTTATTAAACATTTCTTTGTTGTGAGGGTGGGGTGGGCTTTTTGGTTGACTCTTTAAACAGAAATGGTCTTTTTTCAGAACTCCTCTTCTGCCCTAATCCTGCTCCCTGATTTTCCATTAGTAAGTTTGAGTCAGAACTCTGTGTCTGGCACAGACTCCTGCCACCTGAACTGGTTATTTATTAGCTAGCCCTCAGCAAGCTGTTGTCTGGGGTGTGTTCCATCTGTGCCAGCTCGTGTCTGCCCAATGTGGTGGGCTCAGAGAACACACTCTTGGGTCGTGTCTTCTGGGGAGGTGATTTTTTTGCTGGGAAAATGGATCCCAGCCCAGACTCTTTACTGGTTTGTTTACCCTGCATCATGTACTAGAGCTGCTCTGGAAATTCATGAGTTCCCACATAATACTTCTGCAGCCAAAACAAGCCTATCTCTTGCAGTGTGTGCTGTTACTCTTTTGTTGTAGGCTACTATGATTTTCTTTAAAAAGCATGAGTCTAAGAAATATTTCAATTTCATATTTAGCTGTATTTCTGGCATTTTTTATGTCATGATAATTTCTATTTGTGTTTAAATGATGGTTGTGACAGAATATCTGAGTAGTAAGGGATGGTAGGAGGTTTTTTAAACAATGAAAGTTCTCGAGTATCCTATCAGATTTTTTACTGTAAACTTCACTTGAAGTAAGAGGCAGCTCCATTTTGCCTAAATGATTTCTATATTTCAACATTGCAAAGACACCACCAAACTTAAATGAAGTTAGAAATATGTGCTATTCTAAAACTTTGTGGTGTCATTATTGTAAATTTCCAAAGGGCTTTGTGTGCTTAGTTTTATATTATGTTTCATTTGAATGATAGTTATCTCAGATTTTGTGCTGAATATTTGGCAAAATTCCATGCTTTCTAGGGTAACTTTGTGTGACAAGGTTCATTTTTTGTTTAACCCTAGGCCAATAAAAAGGGGAGACATTTTGCCACCAGAAAGAGGCAGAGAGGTTGCCAAGGAACTCGGGATACCCTACTATGAAACCAGTGTATTTGACCAGTTTGGAATTAAAGATGTGTTTGACAATGCAATTAGAGCTGCCCTGATCTCCAGAAGACACCTGCAATTCTGGAAATCTCATTTGAAGAAGGTCCAAAAACCTTTGCTTCAGGCTCCATTCCTACCTCCAAAAGCCCCTCCTCCAGTTATCAAAATTCCTGAGTGTCCCACGCCGAGCATGAATGAAGCTGGATATTTATTGGACAGCCCACTGTGTGCAGATGTCATGTTTGTTCTTCAGGAGCAGGACTGCATTTTTGCTCACAAGATTTACCTAGCTACCTCCTCTTCAAAGTTTTATGACCTTTTCTTAATGGAATGTGAGGAAAGTCCATACTTGGACGAAACACAATGTAATAAAGAAAATACAAATAAGGATGTTCTGCCCAGTCACCTTGAGACAAGCAGTGACAGTGATGAGGCATCCTTGAAATCTCTTGATGTTAAAATTCCCCCACCAGAAAGCAGTGAGTCTTTAAACATGCTAGAAGCTGAATCTGGTGAAACAAACTCTGCAGCAAGATCTCTGTCCTCCTGGGGTAAGGGGTTTGTTAGTGTGCACAAGGAAATGCAAGTGAATCCTGTCTCAAAGCGGACGTGTCCTGTAACTGTGGTAAAAATGGATTCCTCTGTGCAGGCTGCACCTTTTAAAACTGTTTTGCAGTTTTTATACACAGGCCAACTGGATGAAAATGAAAAAGACCTCACCAGACTGGCTCAGATTGCTGAAATCTTGGAAGTATTTGACTTGCGAATGATGGTGGAGAATATTATGAATAAAGAAGCCTTCATGAATCAAGAGATTACTAAAGCATTTCATGTCAGAAAAGCTAATCGGATAAAAGAGTGCCTTTGCAAAGGGACATTTTCTGGTAAGTAAATACATGCTTAAGCAGGAAGAGAACTATGGGGTTTTTTTTCTCATCCATGTTACTGTCACTTCATAGACTTCAAACAGTGTGACAGGTTACATTGTTCTGAGAGGAGGGATGACCCCAAAATTGTAGTGTTACTCAGGCCAACTGTTCCAGCCTGGGATTCTGTAGTTTCATTTCTCAAAATCTACTCACAGCTTTTAAACAAGCAACCCAATTCTCAGAAATGTTGAACGTTCAATATGCCCCTTTACAATTAAAGCTTTTTGTTAACTATTTTAAATGCAAGAGTTATTTTTGAGGTGGAGGTCATGAGAAATGAAGGAAGTCCTTGGTTAACAGAGTTCAAGTGAAACACATTGTTGAGAACCCTAAACACAGACTTGCAGCACTCCTGTGCCTTTGTTCCCATGGCAGATGTGACATTTAAATTGGACGATGGAAGCATCAAGGCCCACAAGCCACTGCTGATCTGCAGCTGTGAGTGGATGTCTGCTATGTTTGGAGGATCATTTATTGAAAGCTCCAACAGTGAGGTATTTGTCTATTTTTGTTTCTTTTGTTTACAATGTCTGATGGATTTAGGATGATGGAAGCATCATTTATTTGAAAGGTTGCAACAATCCCTAGAATCAAGGATTTATTCTTCCTTGCAAACCTGGGATGCTTTTCTTCTTAAGGTATTAAATAAGGCTGCCCAAGAAGACAACATACTTTCTCCAATGCACAGGTCTTCCTCCAGCACTGGAATATGTGTTTAAACCAAAAGGCCTGTAAAATGTTAAATATGGGGAAGTAAATTAAGTATGAATTTGTGAATGTCTTTAAAATAATTTTTTAGATTTTGTGAATATACATTTATATGATCAAAATCACTACAAAGAATACTCGGGGAGGGATATTGATAAAGAAATTAAAGATAAAAAAGGTTTAAAGACATATGAGTGCTAAACTAGAAAAGGAAGCTGTTTTCACAGTAGAAACTGAGCTAACTTTAGGAGAAGTTCTACTAACTTTAGTAGAAACTCAGCATAGATTCTGCAGTGCATCGTCTTGTCCTCTGGAGTAAAGCAGGTGTGCAATGCAGTTTAAAAGATCTCAGTGCTTTGAATAAGATTTTGCAGAAGCCTTGTATTTTCATGTGCCTTCATGGTCTGTTTTTCAAATTCCAAACACTTTGCTAATACTTTTTCTTGTGCCATACCCAGTTGGATTTTTTTGTTTGTTTGTTTTTCTTGTTGCTTTCCATAGAGTTAATGTTCATATGAAGTGTTCATGTTTTCTGTGTTTAATATCCTGATAGATATTTTTCTACTTAGATTTTTCTGGCTTCTTCTAATGCAGCTGTAAACATAATTCCTTTCCCGTAGGCACACTCAACAAGTGGTTCAATAAAAATACATCATTTGATTCTAGTATGCATCATTTGGCAATGAAGAATATTCAGTTTTCTACCAGCCTATTTTTAATTATTAGCTTCATACTCTTAGCTCATCTTTCCAATTTAAAATATTTAGCTTCCATTTTGTAGAGTTTAAAGCATTCAGTAATGCTTTAGGAAGTTTTAAAATATAGGTAGGTATGAATAGAATGGTTTACAAATAATAAAAACCGTATATTTTTACATACTACCTTTTCTGTATTTGGGGCAAATTTTATAAACTCATTCATTAAATTTACAGTTCTCTGTGTTAACAAAAATATATCAATAATGAATGAGTTTCACAGCTAGCTGCTCTCACTTGGAGAACTGAGCTGTTTCCCAGAGTGGCTGATGTGCATGAAAGGTTTATGCTTTAGCATGAGAAATTAGACAGTTTTTATCCTAGTCCTGGTAGCTTCATTCCATGCTGGTTACACTCATTACATGTGTGGGTCAGAAAGGGCTTACTTTTTTTTTTTTTTTTGCCTCATCCCTTCGGTTCTCAGTTCCTTCTCAACCTTGCTTACCTGGACAATTTGGTTATTTACCAGAAGACTGAGAGGGGTGGTTTTACTGTTATCCTTTGTTTTCTGTTATTCTCAGAATCCACAGAAAATCCCTTGCCAGGAGCAGATAGATTACATTCCTCAAGGAGTCCACCAAGGGAAGTTTGGCGTGGGAAGTGCTCAGTGACTGTTGTGTGTAGCTGTCAATTTGTAGGCTAGAGAGCATTGAACAGAGTCACTGTTTGATCTGGATCCAATTCCAGCTTGGATATAACCTGGCAAAGGATCTGACTCTGGAGCAGTGCTTACCTGTTGGCAGTGTCTTGAACTTGAATGGGAAATTTCTGCTTTGAAAAATGTTTTCCCTGCATTTCTGAAATGCCTTGAAGAGAAAAAGTCAGGCAAAGTGAGAGAAGTGAAATATAGCTGCTATATGAAAATCCCTTAATAATTATAAATTCTCTTCTTAAATATCTTTTCCAGGTAGCTCTACCCAACATAAACAAGACCTCCATGCAAGCAGTTTTAGATTACTTGTATACCAAGCAACTGTCCTCCAGTCAGGAACTGGACACCCTTGAGTTAATTGCTTTGGCAAATAGGTTTTGCCTTCCTCACCTGATTGCTCTAGCAGGTAACAATTTTTTGGCCTTGTCCAATGCAGTATCTTCTGCAACAGCTGAAATTTGCTTTAATGGTTTTTGGAACACGTGAGATTTTCTTGCGTGTCAGAGAATTTTATTTTTTTTTCTGAGAGGGGTATTGTAATGCAAATTGATATTTTCACACAGAGAAATGTATTTGCCTCTCTCTTGCCTTTTTTAGTTTCGTGCTAATCCAGCTCAGAACACTGAAGTTTTCTGTGCTTTAAAACCAGAAAGAGTAAACCTTCTCTTTAGCATTGAGGATAATGTCTGTGAATTGCAATATCCATTCTTTTGTTGTTAATTTACCTAAAACCAGGAAGGATTCTGGGTTTTCCATTAAGTAATGAATGAAGTGCTCCACTTTATATTTCTGTTCAAAGAGAGTCAGTTTAAAACTTACCTAGATGATCATGTTTTTAGAAATGCTGTCTAGGTCCCTTTTCACTAGATGAGAATTGGATATTTTGGTATATCCCTGGGCATTCAACCCTCATTTCAGGAAGAAAACCTTTTCAATCCCATATTTAAAGAAAAATTACAGGTTAGAATACCCCTAAAGTTATAAAAATAAATCCATACACAACCCTGACCTCTGGGGTTGTTTGGGTTGTGTTGTGTTTAATTTGTTTCTCTCTATGCCAGTCATTTGGCATTGTTCTGGAGGCATGACCAAGACCAAAACTCAGAGAAAGCTGAAACAAAGCTACACCTACCTACAGGACTACACTTAGGCAGAATTTAATCACATACCAAGCCCTGGCATTCCTTCAGCTGTGCATCAGGACTGTGTCTGTTGTCTTTACTGGTTCTGACAGACCAAATCTTTATTGCCAGATTATATTTGCACATTTTAGCTGAAGTTTTGGTTGGTAAACCAACTGCCAGTGTTTCCCGAAAAATACTCAGACTTCCAAGATTCTAGGCAAGGGATAAGGAGAATCTTGAACTGAGGTGATTTTTGGGGGGGAGCTGGTCAGCCTTCATCTGAATCCCTAGGAACAGCCAATCTGAAAACCTAAAGGGGGCCTGAAGTGACCTTTTCTATATCAGTGCTGTGTGGATACTCATTAGTAAATAATTCAGTGGGAAGTGCAGTGTTGATTAAAAACTTTGTGACTGAAAGGAGACAGCTGATCCATATTTCTAATTTAAATTGGATATTGTACCTATGCCAGAGAAAGACTAGTGGCTGCTGAACTCTGTGTTTCTATAAGTGGTTATGAACCACATCTTCAGCCACAGCTCTAAAGGTCAGAATTTGACTTCCCCCAAATCTCAGCTTAGTAAGGATACCTGTGTGAACATGGCCCCTGCATAGTGCTGGTTACCAGCAGGAGGAGGGAGAACGTGCTGCCTGGGTTCTTTGTGGCCATGGTGTGACCTTGCAGTGTGGCTGTTTGCCCTGTGAGTGATGAGTTTTCTCCCCTAACAGAGCAGCACGCAGTGCAAGAGCTGACAAAGGCCTCCATGAGCGGCGTTGCAATAGATGGAGACGTCCTCTCCTATCTGGAACTGGCACAGGTGAGTCTACACAGCCTTCTGAAGAGATTCTGGTCAGCTGCAGGACTTGCTTTTAGCTCCCTACTGGTTCTGAGCATTGCTTCTAAGTGGCTTAAAGCCTGCACTTCTGAGAGTGACTGACAATAAAACTTAGTTTTATCTTCTATTTTAAAGAAGGTTTTTTCATTAGTTCAAAGGTAAGATATCCCTTTAAGTAACCTCAGAGAAGTTGTCTTTCAAATATATATTTTAGTTTGTCTTGATTGTGGAACTTCCAAGCTCTGTTCTCATGACCATGGTGCACTAGCTAACATGAAAAGCAATGTAATGAAGCTGTTCAGCTTTGTAATGGTGATTGATTCTTGCGTTCCTTTCAATTCAGTTCTTGGAGATATATTTAGACCTGTACTGCAAAGACAACATTTCTTGAATCCTTAAACTGGCTACTTAAAATCATCTGATCGATCATCTGATAATTCAGAGTATGTGCAAATCTTCTTTATGTTCAAGTGCATTTCAGTATTTCTTGAGTCCCATAAATAATTAAAAGAGAGAGCTCCCAGCTCACAGTTAAACTGCACACCTGTATCCCAAAGTGCAGTAGACTCCCAGCTACAGTGGAACAAGCGAAAATATTGTTTAAATTTTATTATTCTTGATTTCACACTAACAATGAGTCAGCTGCAGCTTGGCTTGAAGTAGTACTAAAACACTGCACAAAAGTAGCACTAAAACACTGGCCACCATGCAAGATTCCCTGCAGCTGTTTTTGAGACCCTCTGTGCAATACCTGTAATCCTGTTGCAAAATCAGAACTGAACCCCTCCCAAGAGAAAGCAGCTCACTTCACTTCATTTTTATCTTAAGAATCCAAGTCTTTCTTTTATTTCCTTCTCCTGGTTGGAGACAGAAGCAATATCTCTAGGTACTGTTAGAATATCCTCTGTGGCCAGCACCTAGCTGATGTTTATATTCTGAGATCAGAGCTGGCAGTCAGGATGATCACCTGGGAGAGTACGGCCAGGTACCATCTGCTGGGACCATTCCAGCTTTAGCTGTAAATAGGGGCTGCAGAATGAATGATAACCCCAGGAAATGGAATAAGCTCTTTGTTTTTCTTCACAGTTTCACAATGCTAACCAGCTGGCAGCTTGGTGCTTGCACTACATCTGCACCAATTACAACAGCGTTTGCTCCAAGTTCCGCAAGGAAATCAAAGCTAAATCTTCAGGTATGGGCAACTTCCCTGCCAGTTTTCATCAGGTTTCCCCTTCTTTCTCCCCACCCAGTTGATTAAATATAAAGACAAAGATGAACTCACGTAGCTAAGCCAAGAGACCAAACCTCTGTGCTGTCTGGAACAGCATTCATAAATTCTTATCTGCAGAGAAAGGTCACAATCATTAGCCTGATTGCTGGGCAAGCATCGTGTTCTTTACCTAATTCAGTGATCCTAAAAGGAACAGAGGCTCTGCAATGAAAAATACACTCTGTAAACGCCTTGCTTTTTTATAGTTTTTGGTAAACTAATGCCTCTTGTGTGTAACCACTTTCAAAGTCTTTTCACACATAAGGCATTTGAGGAAACTGGGTGAATCCTTGATAAGCAGGCCAGCATAGAGAATGGATCAATGATTAGCTGCACAGCTTTTTGCAAGACATTGCTGGGATTTGTGTATCTTACTGGCATCTTTAGGGATTTTTTTCAGTGTTGTTTTTTTTTTTTAATCAGATAATCAAGAATATTTTGAGAGGCATCGGTGGCCGCCTGTGTGGTATTTAAAGGAAGAAGATCATTACCAGCGAGTTAAAAAGGAGAGAGAAAAGGAAGATGTTGCACTGAACAAACACCATTCAAAGCGGAAGTGGTGCTTCTGGAATTCCTCTGCTGTAGTTGCCTGAACAAAGCAAATAAGTGGAAATCCATAGCCAGAAGTTACTCTTATTATTAGAAATAAGATAAAGTTCAGGTTTTCAGGAAACTGTGTTCCACTTGTGCATTTATTACTTCTAGGGTCAAAAGCACAAGCTCACCGAAAATGAGCCTGGAACAGCTCCTTGAAGTCATATGTATATTTTTGACTGGTAAGCAGATAAATGTCAACCATTATTACATTACTTTTTATACAAAAAAAACCAAATCCAGCATTAATGTTTCAATCTCCAGTTGGGAAATATTTTTATACTGTCTGGTGTATTTTGTTCAGATAAAATTCTGGATACTGTTTTGTTTTACAGACCACAAAATAACCATGTAGCAGCTTTGTAATTACATTTTAACTATTTTTACTATGCGAGTACAGTGAAATAGACAATCTTCAGTCATAAGAGACTGCTTTTAGATTATCTCATAAAAAGTCATCTTAGGAAAAAAATCTAGCTGTCTACTATAGGTTGTCTTTTTCAAACTAAGTACTGTGCACTGGTAATATAATTAGATGGTTATTTCCCCTTTCTAAAGCAAAGGGTTAGAATAAGATCCAATAACTGTAAGATATAGAGTGCTTGATCTTTGCTCAGCTGAATAATAGACAGTATAATTACCTGTTCAACTGCAGGCAAATGTATTTCTAATATTTGCCATGTAAGTGCAAATAATTATGACTATGTGGGCCATGTGAAATCTAGTGATTCTAAGTATTCAGAGGTTTTATATGTCTAGATCAAAGAGGATATTTCTAAAATCATTTAGAAGGGCTTATTAATTTATATCCTTATACCAGTATGGATCTGAATGCAAAAAGCAGTTACACTGCTTGCATTTGAATTACTGCATGGCAGTTACCTTATTCTGCAGGATCTTCACCATGCAGCCGTTCCTCATGCTGAATTCCTTTTTGCTTCAGTGCAAGCAAATGAAAGGGCTGCACAAACAAGTAGATGTTATCTAGTGTTCCAGCATTTTGTAAATGAAGAAGGGTCTTCACACACAAGATTACTTCAGTTTGATTCAAATTCTTTTATAGCTTTTCCCAGGTAGAACTGAGAGTTTTAGGTTATTTTTAAGTAGGTGATATATTTCCTGTGGAAGCAGGTGTTCCCAGAATGCTGGGGGCAGACTGATGGCAGAAAGGCAGGAATTCTGCACAAGTGGTGCAGGACAAGCAAAAGCTTCCAGTGTTTCCAAATAGCCTGTGTGTTTATGACTTTTTATCAACCATTACTCTAAAGCTGCAGTGTTACACTAGATTACCTAAGGATGAGAGCATTTTTTAAAAGACCAAAACTAAAATACATAGACTGTAGAAGATACACATGCAATCCTGTGCAGTGTCTCAGGCACAACTCCGTAACCAAGGTAGTATTGTGTATTAGGTTTGTTAATACTGTTCTGTGCTGGCAGCTCAGCACACCAATGTGAAAAGCTGTTTGTTTGTTCGTGGTTTTTTCTCTGTATCCGAAGGCAAGGCAGTACAGTCACCCCCCAGCACTGTAGGTCAGGAGAGGCTTTGGCCTGAAAGCCATAAACACCTCGACATATTTGCATTCTGCACAGACTCATTGCCAGGCTGAGGCTACCACAGCTCAGAGGAGAGGCTGCTCTGCAAACCTGTGTGAGGAGAGCAAGTGAGAGGTTCCTACCCCTCTGAGATCCATCACCACGTGGTGATAAAGAAGGGCTATAAACGATGGTTGCAAATATGTCTCCTTAATTCTTGGTCAGTGACAATGTGGACAAGAACATGGAATGAGAGAAGGCATGTCAGGATAGAAAAATAGCTGTTGTCATAAAATGTTAACCAGTCACATTTTAAGTAAGTTGCTACTAGGTTTTACACAACCAAAGCTACTGTATGATTGTAATCTTGCCAAACTGTAATGGATATATAAATGAACCTGAGGTATATGCAATAATATCCAGTTATTCTAGTTATCAGCTACTATAACCAAGTGGCTGGTTCATTTGGTTAATGCTGTCTATGGCCTTTAATCTTGGTGGTTATTTTGTGTTTTTTATTTTGGAAAAAAAAAGTAAATAAAACTGTTTAGTTACAAATTGTCTCCTAGCTCTTTGAAGAAACTTCCTTAATTATGCCTTGCATCCTTCCCTTTTTAATGCTGCTTGTAAGCATTCAGTTCTGCTGTCATTCATTGAATTTTACTGAAATTTTGTATATTTGTATAGCACGTTAGGATTTGTGGTTGGGAATGTCACGAGGAAATCCTACAGTTTGCATATGATATTGGAAGGTTGGTGCTTGTCACTTACTGTTAAACTGCACAGCAAAAGAAAATCAAACCTCTTGCCTCTTTTCCCCATGGTTTCTAATATTTAATTAGCATGATATTACCCAAGGGACATGAAACTAATTGGTCATGACAGACACAGGGAGGAAAAATGCAGGTAAACAGCAGGATGTCTGTAAGGTTTTCAGTATGCTCTAAAATATGTACAAACACTGTTTTCCCCACTTTCTCACTGCCTTAGTTGTCACCCATCTTACAGAATTCCTCATTACCTATTAGCAAATACTCAGCTTCCTGAATACAGCTTATTTAATTGATAGATGTGTAAAGTTGGTCTTTTCTAGACAATTTTTGCAAGATATCATGCAAAGAATGCCACATTAAGAGCTTTGAAGAAAACCACAAAGCAACGCCAATGACACTGAAAGTAAGTACATTCAGTACAGTGTTTGTTTTTCAAGTGCTAATTTATGAAAATGTTACATATCTCATTTACTTTTGGAAGAAAAATTTTATTTCTTTGAACTTACCATTAGTAAAAGGTAATGGGCTCAAAAGAAAGAGTGGTGATGTCAGGTGTAAAAATGTTTCTCTTGTTTAAGATAAAAGCAGTAGCATGGGAGGAAGGAGCAAATCAGAAGCATTGCTCTCCAGGGTATTCTGTTTGAAATATTAAGACCAATATTAAGAAGTCTTTGTTTCTGGGGAGTCTCATTCATCTTCCCTCTTAGAAACAATGTTTTCCTATTTGTTCTTTAAGACAATTAAGAATTTCTGCCAGCAAGTTTTTCTGCGCCAGAACAGAAACCAGTTTCTGTGGCATCCTACCTGCAAGTAGCCCACCAAAGCCAGAAATAGCCAGTTGTTGTGTGAGATGGGAGTGGCCAGACTTCAGCCACAACTCCCTGATTTCATTCACTGAAGACCTACTCTTCACAGTCCTTTAGTCAGATCAAAGTGAGCAAAGGTAAGCTAGACAGCACTAGAAATGTGGGTGTGTTATGTTAAGAAGGGTTGCCTAGTAGAAGAGAGTAGTCTGGAAATCCCTTCTGAGCACTGAAAGCGTGGTTCTAACAGAGGGAGTAAGGAAAAGCAGCACAGTGATTTATTGCCCTAATTCTTGAGCAGCTTGCCTACAGATAGCCCTCAAGAACAGCTTATGCCTAGAAGTGTTTGATTTGTAAAATTGGGGGATTTTTTTTTTCCATGTTCAAACAACAAGCACTGATAGAGGAACTGAAGGCTTTTGGAAATCCTTCTCTCAGGGTCAGGTCTCTCATCCTTTGTACAAAGAGGTTTAGATAAAGATCTAATGTACTAAATAGGATTAATTTTGGTACGCAAACTCCAGGATGGTGACATATTTCAATTCTTCCAGACTTTAGTATTAAAATCTGGTGAAGAGATTTACTTTGTCAGATGAAACTACAGTTTTGTCCCTATTCTGTCCCTTTTTTTTAAATCACAGTCTTGCTACTCTTGTCACTGGATAGGCCAGCATTTATTTACTCTGGGTTGGATTCCAAAGTACGTACTATGCAGTGAGATGTCTTTAAGGGGTATGCTTGCCACTCCTGAATCCCCTTAGATTTTTGGTCTATTAAAATGTTCTAAGAGAATTTGCATGGGTTTACTTCTCCTGCAGGCAAGATTCCCATTGAAATGGATGAGATACTACACACACGCACTCGGGGCTTTGAGGTGCTGCCTAATGAATTTCCATGTTATCGCTTGCCTGTGTTCCAGATCTCCCAAAGAAGTTAGCTCTGTGTACTGCATGCAGGATAAGACAGTGTGTTAGCAGTGATAATCCCCATCCTGAAGGCTCTACAATAGGATAATTCATTGTCAGTTAACTTATGCCTTTGCCTTTAGCTAAGAGAACACAACCCATGTCATGGATTCACTTTGCACTAGCAGCCGGAGTAGTGAGACTATTGTATATTTATATATGCAGACTAAATCCCTCACTGCTGCTTACATAAAAACCTTGATTTCTGGTATAAATATGAAAAGCTTTTGGATCAAGGCTGCAGGAGGCTAAGATGGAAATTTGAACATTAGAAGATGCAAGAATGGTTATGCTAATGCATCCCAGCTCTAGAGAAGATCAAACTGAAAAGGTAAAGCTGTGATTCAGGGCGAGCCTAGCATAGGACAACAGAGTTGTGATGGCTCCTTTTTAATTGTTCAGCCTCACCAGCTGGTTTGTAAGCAGGCCACGTATCTGCAACATCCCACTGGGATGTTTGCAGCAACAAACATTCCCAAGAGGCAGGGAATGTTTGCAGCAACAAACATTCCCAAGAGGCAGGTCCTGCATCCCACCCCCACAGCATGGGGGCTGTGAAACATTGCAGTACATTGCTAACTCCTCTCAAGTCCTTTCCTGTACACTGGTACCCCACAGTCTGTCCTTTGGCCTGCAGAGATGTCCAGTACCACCTCCTGGACATCATATATCTGTTTTGTATATGTTGGGTCTGTATATGTTTTTGTGCCATCTTGAAGGATATTCCAGAGCAACAAGGACCATCACAGGAAGGATCTCCAGCCAGTTTCCTTCCAAGTGGCAGCAGACACTGGAGCCAGGCTCTGTGGCAACCAGGTATTGGCATGTTTAGGGATTTCAAGATAAAAGTAATATAAATTAACAAAAATATAATTAACAAGTAATATAAATTTGCAAAAACACTTAGAGACTGAGTGACTGAACACAGGCATGAGCTGTGTGCCTGCATGGACGGGATTATTTCAGGTGCCATCTGAAGATGCTAAACTGGGAGGGGGATATGCCCTGGAGATAGCAGCTCTGATTTTTCAGCTTTAAAGAAAAGCAGCCTTCACCATTAGACAGAATTAGCGAGCTGGGTGCCATCCCTCTCTATTGCACAGGTCTGAGGCCATGGAGGGCTGTCTCACCCTCCACCCTCACACTCATCTGAAGTTTTAGATATGCAGCCAGGTGATTACTCTTCACAGTGAAGATTGTCATAAGAAATTTTCTTGCCTTTTATCATTAAAAAAAGGAAGGATTCTTTAGTCCCCACTGGGATTAATTTTTTTTTTTTTAATTTATGGCTGTATAATAAGGATTACATGGCATTCCAGGTATTAATACTGAGTATTCAAATTATCCTCACAGGTTATAAAAAAACCCCTACAATTAGCAGTTTATGAGTATATGATTAAATTTGCATCTTAGTCATTAAATATAAGCTGGTCATTCTGACTACATGATGAGATGTGATTGCCTCCACCACCCAGTATTTTAAATATTAGTTATGCACTACATATTACAAAGAAAGTTCTTTACATATTTCTCCTGGGTCCTTAATTACAGCTGCTTGTAAAATTTTGTGGATCCCTGTGCTCTTTGTATCGCATTTACATTTTTCAGTTATAGAGTGTGTAGGGTGAGTTTCTAAATAATTGGTGAATTATGTGTTGAAAATCAGATGATGGTGCCTTATTTCACAAGCAGTCTAAATACAGGGGATTTCTGAGGAGTCCCTGGGGACTCTCTGGGGTGGGAAGATCTCTGTGAATCCTTCCTGCTCTTGCAGGAACAGGAGAGCTCTCCCTGCACAGGAAGAGCTGCATCAGCTTGCAGGGGCTGTGATCAAGTGTCAGCAGTCCTGCAGCCTGTAAGACACCCCAGAGCACTCTGAAACAGCCTCACCCAGGTGTGCCCACTCACACATTGACTGCTCATCTCCCAAGGGCTCCCTCAGGCTGTTCTGTTGAGGCAGGTTCTCCCCAGCTTTGCTCCCCCTTCCTTGTGGCTGGCCGAGGGCAGCAAGGTCTGAGCATGCAGAGGTGTGCACTGCTGAGCACAGTGCAGCTCTGGCAGGTGCTGCAGCTCCCACAGCCCTGCCCTTCTCAGCTCTCCGGGGTAGGAAAGGTAACAAGGTGAAGACTGATGTCTGCCATTAATGGGGTTTTTTATCTGCTATGGGGGTCTGTTTGTTTGTTTGCTGTAGTCACAGCAAGGTTTGTTTTCTGGAAGCTGTTTGTTAAGAAGATAGGAGGAATAAGAAATGAAAAAATGACTGTATCCAAAGATTATTGGGTGATTACCTCAAGATAATTGGGTAATTAGGTTAAAGACTTGCCTTCCTTTCTGCTTAGGCCTCCAGTGTGTCTGAAGGTGAGGAGGTGACTGAAGGTCAGTGCAGGTATTGCTGGGCAGAATTTTCCTGTTAATAGTACAGATTGCCCCTCTGTAGCTGAACAGAGGAGCAAGGAGGCTGCTGCCTGGGAGTTTGTTAAAATCCATGAAATTATTCACCTTCAATTTTTTCTGCTACTTAATTGGCAAGGCACTACAGGAGGTGCTGTAGGGCTCCAGGAAGTGTTCTGTGCCCTGCACTGAGTGGGGGTACAGGGAGCACATGTGCCATGCATCTGTAAAAGGCAGGCACTTGCTGCAGCTGTAGGGGTAGGATTTAATGGCCTTGCTGCTTTCTCCTGGATCCATGGCTTTTGTTTTGACTTTGCTCACCTGCCCTGCCCATTAATACAGAGACTTGGGCCAGAGAGTGTCATCCTAGAACTACATTCTCTCCTTGGGCTTCAAAAGATGCTTTCCTTATATCTGGTACCCAGACACTGAACAGAAATCCAGAAATCTTAACCACTGTACTTTCAGCCCTTCTGAACTGGTTTTCAGTCAGACTTCCCATGCAGAGCAGTCAAGTGCAGAACTTGCCACATGACACTGGGGGTGTGAAGAGCTTTGAGTTCCCAGGTGACCTGGACAGGTTATGGATGAGAAGTTTACTGGGGGTTAGTAAATGCGTAGAAAAACATGCCTGACTGATCAATTTCCAAAGTCAAACAAATGGCTGGGGGGTTGCAGAAGAGGTGTTGCTAGCTGGTCATGCTGTTCTTTGTTTCTCTGGGCATCAGGTTTTGGCCACTGTCAGACACAGTGGAAGGGACAGACAAATCCTTGGTCTGACCCAGTAGTGCTCATCTCTTTGCTCCAGAAGTTCTGGGATGAAGAATTCAGTGCAAGGAGGAGGCTTTTCCCACCTAACCATGTGCTCCTTTGCAACGAGCCTACCTAAGAACCCTGTCCAGCAGGGTCCTTTCCATGCCCTTTGGCTGATCACCTTCCACTATTGAAAGTTCTCATGATCCTCTAATGCTATTGTGGTAAATGCTAATAATAGATCCAGGTGACACTGATGGCAGCAGGTTAACACACAGCACTCCAGTGTGCTTTCACTGCACCACCAGCACTGAATGGATTTATTGCACATCCACTAAGCCACATCTTGGCAGGCTGGCCAGCATCCACAAGCACCCATAACCACTCTGGCACACGTTGCACCTCCTGGAGGTTTATCCAAAATTTGAACCAGACTGCTCATGGGATTTGTATCTCTATTGTTTAGCAGAGTTGAAACAGAAATGGTTTTGCCAGGGTCATGCAAATGATCAAGACCTGTCCCTGGTCTTATGGAGGAGAGGAGAGACTCTCCTTTCCTTTAGATGCACAACTGATCATAATCAATGCTTAATGGACTGTCAGGTGTAAGCTACAGGCTCAACTGCTCTCTCTCTGACTGCTTCATCAGCTGTTTTCTTTCAGGGAAAAGTAAGCATAAGACAGATCTCTTTAAATTGCCTTTTGGCCTCAATTGCAATACCTAGTGAGTAAAACCCAGCCACCACATTTTCCCCTTGTCCCTTCAGCACTCAGCTATACCATCATCCTCTGATTTAGCATCAGCTAAGTGAAGCACTAACCAAGTCAAAACCATTTGATACAGGCACTTGGCATTTCCTGAGCATCCTCATTCTTTGACAAGGCTGTAGCTGGGCACAGGGAGGGCAGGCTGGCACAATCTCTGTATCAGTTCTGAGTTCTCTGTGCACTGGCATGCTGTAGGAAGCCAGCAGACTCCTCAGGAAGAGTTAGCCCTTCAGCCAGCCAAGAAAGCAGGCATCTGTAGTGCATGGAGGGCTGTGTCCAGCCTGAGGTAGAAACAAAAGAACCCCAAACTTCAGGAAGGTGGAAAGGCTCTCAGGGAGTAACTAAGCATTCCATTAGCATGAAAGTTGGATGGCATCAAATGAAATGAAAGGCAGATTCACAACCAAGAGCTCCTCTTCACCCCAGTGTTAGCAGAGCTGCAAAATTTCTTGCCAGAGAACATAGGCTGGAAGCTTACACAGCTCCCAAAAGAAACCTTTAGGGAAGAAACCTATCAAATACAGATCATCACCTACTTCAGAACTTAAGCCCAAGGCACTGGAAGTTGGGTGTATACTACCAAATATAATTTTGTGATTACCTTTTTTTTATATTTCCTGGAGCATCTGCTGTTGGCCACTGTCAGAAGCAGGAACCAGGGCATAGGACAGAGCAGACCTTTGGTCATCTACTTGTGGCTGTTCCTGAGGTTGTGATTAAGGACTCCCCTGCCTCACTACAAAGACCCAAACCTGCTGTTCCTCCCCGACCTCGTAGTTGCACAGGTTGGGCTTTTATTGGGTGTCAGTTCAGGAGCTCATCACTTGCCTGATGGCAGTACAGGTTCAGCCCATGAAAGGGGAGGAGGGAAAGCAAAGGGATTTATGTTTCTATCCCTTCTATCTATTCCTGGAATGTTGTAGTGTTCCTACACTGTTGTGTGCCAAAGAGGAGGTCAGAAGAGCTCAGATCCATGCAGTGACTGTGGGGTGAGACTGCAAAACAGACACCCCTTTAGGCACAGGAGCCACACCCAGGCATCAGCTCCTGGGAGTGACACGTACTATTCCTGCCCCATACTCCTAATGATGAAATCTGCCCTCAGACTTCAGTGAATGCTGGTGTTTGTTCTGGATGATGCTAAATCACATGGGCATGCACAGCACAAATTGTGTCTGCCAGGGATTTTAAATAATCTTGAATCATTTTGCCCTAACCAAGCACCCCTAAGTGATGCTGTAGATTTAGCTCTTGTGATCCCTGGGGTCACCTGCACTGCCCTGCTCTCTAGGAATCCCTTCTGCCTGTTGGGAATTAATCAGTTTCCAATTCTAGAGCTGCACAGTAGCATATTAACAAAAGAAATCCCTGCTGTGAGCAGTGATAGCAGGGAAAGAGGGAGATACGTTTTGCCTTAATATGGCCCTGAGCCTGTTGCTGACTGCAGAAAGCCAAGGTAAATATGTGTCCAGCATCACTTCTGCCTGCCCTTGGCCTTGCTGCTGCCTCACTTGGCTGACTTTCACAGACAAAGCACCATCACTTAGTGTGATACACATTCCTTCTATTGCACTGGGAATAATCCTTCATTGCTATAAGCTTTTTCAATTTTCTTAAGGCCTTTTACTACTTTGCCGGCATAGCATAATTTATTTTGTTGAGTGGTTTACACATTGAAGTGTGTGAAGTTGTATTTATATGTCTCTGATGAGTTCTTTCCTGGCTAGTGGATCAGTGCCGTGGGGTTTTTTTTACTGTAGCTTTCTGCTTTCACAGTGCAATTTTTCACCTAAAAATGAGACTCCAGACCTGCTGACTTCTGCCACTTCACACCAGTTCAATTCTCAACTCCAGCAGACACCGCCTGGCACCTTCCCTGTAGTGGGAGCTTCTCACTTTTGTCCAGAGTAGCTGAGGACCCTTTAAACAGCAAACTGCAGCTGTCCATCTAAGGTGCTGTCCTTGGGTTTTCTGCTTTGTGTATGTTTAAGTTACATACATTTTTCCATGTATTTCTCACATATACTTTTAAAAGTTTAGGCTCTGTCTACTCTTGCTTTTCAAACTGAAGTGGTTCTTTCTGCTCTATACATTCTCCTCCTTCTTGGAACACAAGCTTTTTGTAAACTATAAGGTGTGGGCAACAAGTGTGATTAAATCTAGCTGTGGGTGTGCTCACATCAGAGCACACTTGTTTTTGTGCAAGTGGCATCAGTGACTGAGAGCTTGTGCAGCACCTCAGGTAGGACAGAACAAGGCACAGTCTGAGCCATCAGACACTGCCCACTCCTATTTTTTGTGAAAGGGTGAAGAGGCAACACACTCCTCACAGATATGCTGATAAACAGATTTCAGTCACAGCACATCACTTGATCTGCTATAAATGCCTTTTGGGAAGTGTCCGGGTTCAGCTGAGAGCCATGTTGAGGCTTAGGACCAGGATTTTTTTTAATAGAGACCCAAACCTTAGAGAGAACACCTATATTTGTCAATGGAGTATATATGGAGTCCATTGTTATTAAACTAATCTGGTTAACAAAACCCACAGCTTTTTCCTAAAGACAGATTCAGAGGATTTAAAGTTCAGGGAGAATAGCACCTTCTGTCCTTGCCCTGCCTCACTGGCATCCTGTTGGGCAGATAGACCCTTGGTAGTACTGTGACACTGACTGCCTTTTGGACTGGTAGGAAGAAAAAGGAAAAGAATATTTAGAGGAGGCTGAAGTGTTCATGGTAGGGAACAGGAGAAGAAACCAGGCCTTGTTAGTAGACGCAGAATCATCCCCATGAGTGGGTTCACCTGCTTTCAGCTCAGCTGAGAAGGGTCTTTGAAAGCCTCGTGCACACACTCAGCTCAGGTGCTCCCCCTGATCCCACCTCCCTCTGACCTCCAGCTGCAGGGAAGCACTGGAGCAACTCATTAGGCAGGGCCACAGGTGAGTCGTTAGGACAACCTTCCCACCCTTCCCTCTGGATGAGTGCCACCTGCACAGATGGCTTCCTCTGGGCTCTGCTTTCTGCTGAATTGTAGGTATTGGAGCCTGCCTCAGATCTAATCTGCCTCTGCATTGCTAGCTGGAACAGAGCTGTGTGGCTGGTTGTGAAAAAAGCTCATATTCCCTGAGAAATACGAGGCTCCCTTCCTGTTTTGGGATCTTTTACCTGCTTGTTATAAGGAGTTTTTTTGAGGATTGCCAGGAGAAGAGGAAAGCATGTCAAACACGAAATGCATTGCAACATCTAAAGAAGGTAAGTTAAAATCTGAATGGGCTGTTGGGAGCCTAACTCAAGCTATAGCAGTAGCTGATCATTAACTTTTCCACAGTAGAGCAGGCAGTGCTACAAAAGCATATTACTAAGATTAATTAATTTAGCACCACAACACCTCATAACACCTCATAAGTAGGTGGATTACCTCCCTGAATAGGGAAAAAGTAATAGAAAAGTACTCTGTGGAAGTTAATTGGAAGTACATCAGCTGCACAGAGCCCCACACCTACTTGTAGCTTTATACTCATTGTATAAAGCTATAACAACAATTCCCTCTTGTAGTTTTAAGCAAAGCATTTGCCCTGCTATTAGTGACCAGCTGGGATTTGTGGTCAAGATATCCCACATGGCAGCTCATCCCTCCAGTTATTAGATGTTTTACTACTTATTCCTTAATTAAACACCTCTTTCTTTAGCACAGTAATGTAGTGTAGCAGCAGGGAGCAGTGACTGAAGTCCAAAGATGATGGGAATTTACAACTATTTTCTTAGCAGAGGCATCCAGCAGTGTCATGAACTAGCACAAGCCAACCCCAGTGAAACCAGCAGAAGAAGGCTCATAGCCAGCTGAGGTCCTGGATGCCAGAAGCAGACAGATGAAGCTGTAAGGAGCCCTTAGTTCAGTCTGGAAGCAAATATACAGGTTAAAGAAACACAGACCTAAACTGCTAAGAGCAGACAACCACTGAAGTGCCATGGGATGGTAGGTTTTGTGCAAAGGGTTTCTGTATGTTTTGGAATATAAAAATCTCCTTTTCCAGTTTACACTTCACATATAATAGAAGAAACATATCCATTTAAGCCCAAGAAGCATGAAGCAGTTTACCTTCTATTTCCTTCAGCTCTAAGCACTCTTCTCTTACCCTCCAGCAACAAACTGAATAAGCACCTTCAGTTTTTATAGCACTCCTGTTCCCCAGAAGCCTTTGCAGCCTCTTCCCTCCTCTTCCTCCTCCCCTGATCTTTATTTCAGTGGGCTATAACCTACAAAATTCAGCATAGGTTTTAATTGTTATAGCCATCTTTTTCTGCTGAAATTGTGTTCTACTAAATGCAATAATGCCTTCTTGCTTTTGTTTTGGATGTAAAGAATTTTAATGAAAAATATTTTTATATCATAGTGTAAACCCACTCAAACACTTTGACATGTTCTTCTGTTGTGGAGTCATCTGCCACAGCCCTGTCTAAAATTTGGAGCTTGGGTCTCAAAGAGGGCATCTCCTCAGAGGAAAGGAGGAGAATTCTGCTGATCATGAGCGAAAGATAGTGGTGTTTAATCCTTTTGTGCATGCTGTTGCTTCACTTTCAGTCTGCAGCTGAAATTTTCCTGGAATTGTTCATATGTAGCCTTTCTTCCTTGGTTCCATCAGGCAGCAAGGCCTGAGGAAGGATTTCAGTGTTTCAGTGTTGCTGTCCTTTGCACAACAGAAGGCAAACACTCCTGTGTGTCTGCTCCCTGACCTCCCATAGAGGTGAGAGGTTCACCCCTTCCTTGGAGCAGCCTTTCTTTGATGCTGTATCTGCCCATGTCCTACACACTGCATTTGGTGACAGCCCGTGGGTTTGCAGGGAATAGGTGCACGTGACTAAACGTATGAAGAAATTCCTGGGGATACTCACATGCTTTGCATGTGTCCATCAGAGGGTCTCTGGAGCTGTGTGTTTTCTTCAGCATGATGAAGCTCTTGGGGATGCTCTGCCAATCTCTTCAAGTAAACATTCCTAGTGCTGTACTTTCACCTGCTGTAGGGGAGGTGCCTCCTGCCAGGAAAGTGATGGGTATTTCCTAGAACAGATGTGGGTCTGTTCCCCCCACCTGCTCCTGCCAGCCCTGTTGCTGCTCCTTGGGGCAGTGACCCCCCGAGCCCACCGTGGTTGTCGGACATGGGACAGGCCCAGGTGGGCCCTGGATGGACCTGCCCCCATCAACAGAGAGCTCTGGGGAGCCAGTCCCTGCCACAGGTGGGGACAGCTGAGCCAAGCCTCACACCCTCCCTCTGGGCCCTTGCAGGAGGCTGGTGTGGGGATGCGGAATTTTTTGGGGTGCTTTGCACAAGGCAGTGGTTGTGTTCTTCCAGCAGATGCAGGCTGAGAGGCCACAATCAGGTACAGCTAGTCCCTGTAACAGTGGGGCTATTTACCTTGCAGTCCCTCTGTGAGGCTTAGAGACTTTAAAATCACAGAATCACAGAATATGCTGAGTTGGAAGGGATCATCAAGTCAGCTGCTGGCCCTGCACAGCACCATCCCCAAGAACCACACCATGTGCCCTAGAGAATTATCCAAATGCTTCTTGAGCTCTGGCAGGCTTGGTGCTGTGACCACTTCTCTGAAACAAGAAGCCTTTTAAATGAGAGCAGACACTGATAATCCCACGTAGCCACAGGACATTAAGCCTCCAGTATTGATGTCTCACTTTGACTCATTTATCTGGTCAGAAAGTCTTATGGGGCCAATTGACATCACGTAGCTCATAATTTTATAGCCAGAAATTATTAAAATAATAACAATAAAGTAATAATAATAATAAACCTTCACTTACTTTAATGACAAATCTTTATGACTGACAATTCCTCCAGCTTGCATATAACTCCCTTAGCCTGAAACTCTTCTTTATGAGTCCCATGCTGTTGTTCCACAGCCCTAAGGGTGAAATCTGAAAAGCTGACTTGAACTCCTCAATAGGTGAAAGTCTTTCTGGGCCCTTATAAGAGAATTCACTGAATAGAAAAATCTTTCCTTTGGAAGCCAATTTATTGAAATGGCAAAGTCAAACACTGTCAAAATCATGGCAAATGCTTTGAGCCTGTCACTTTGAAATTGTAGGGCCAGATGGTGAGAAACTTTTCTGCTGGTCAGGGAACTTTCTGAATGCTCAGCTACTTAGACCAGACTGCTTTTGGGGTGTTTTTTTAAGTATGTTTTCTGTAAGAACTAAATTTGGATTACCTCTCATTTGTCATGGGCCAACAGCACGTATCACCTGGTATAGGCCAGCTGCTTGAGGGTAATGTCATGTCCCAGAATAACCTTTCCCTTTTGACCATGCCTTTGGTAAATCAAGGAAGCCTGTGAGCTTATTCCTTGTCGTGTGTTCCTCCTCAGTCTTAGCAAGCCACAATTGTAATGCAGTGGCATGTTAGTTCTGCTTTGTTTGGTTGTTTTTTCCCCCAGGAGACCTGAAGTAACAGAATACTTTCAGTAGGACTTAAGATCCAGACAGCAGGACAATCCCTGTCCTAACACAAGGAATGACTGCAGAATAACTAGTGCTGGTTGTGGGCTGGCTACTGGAGTGAAAACTGCCTGGGGTATGCCTTTGACATGCTCTGGGGCTGTTCAAAACTTTGGGGGTTTGGTTTTGTTTATCTGGTTGCTGCTGAAGAAGCTTTCCTTCCTCTGGTATTTTAAAGGCATGTGTTGTGACCTGTCACTTGCTAGATTTGTTTGATGTGAAATTTGAGTCTGGCCATGGAAAAACACACTGCAGGAATGTGTTTATTTTGCTCTCTGCTGGAGGTAACACTAGTTTCCAGTTTTCTTGAAGTTTCAGCCGAGTGTTGTGTTGTAAATGTAATAATCACATTCAGGAGGAAAATTGGCATGTGAGATCTACAAATGGAAGGCCCAGAACCTGCCACTTTGCTTTAGCTTCTCCCAAGCAAACAGCCACATTCCCACCAAACTCACTGCAGAAATGGTGCTGGAAACACCAAAGGTCAAATTCCCAGCTATGTCCATCCTCCCTAGACACAAAGGCAGCCCGCTGAGCCTGTTGGCTTCATCAGATGGGAGATACTCTCCATATTTCAAAATACCAAATGGATTTTAAGGCCATTTACTCCCATCCTAAGAAATTAAAGAAATCAACTCAAACAAGCAATGGAACCAAAGCAAACCCATTTTTTTAATGCTGCTTCACTGCAGAGAGATTCAAACACAATAATTTGCTTTGCAAATGCTCCCTGTTTAAAGTAACTGTTACATGTATGCAGAGTACTCCCAGTTCATATGACAATACAAAGGTGTGGAGAGCTAATTAAAACAGCTGATAACCTGTTCAAAGCTTGAAGAAGAAAAAACCTGGACAAGCACTGCATTTTGTTATCCACAAACTTGTCTTTTTCTAAGTCAGGGTTATTCTTAACTAAGAAAACATTACATGAAAAAATTATTTTACATAGATGAATAAAATGCTGTGTATAATTTTCATTGCAGCAAATCACAATGTTGGAGCTATTTTTTATTCTTTTTATTTTTTATTCTTTTTATTTTTTATTCTTTTATTTTTCTATTCTTTTATGAGGGCTAATTAAACTCTACCTTATTTCTTTAGTTTTTTCTTTGAGGGGACCAGTCTTATTTTAATTGTACATGGCAGTAGCCACCTGATGACTCTCGTTAGGGTACATTTAATGATTTTTTAAGGAAAAAAAAGAGCATCTTCCATAGATTTCTTTCCTGTAGCTTTTCAGCAAGAAGTTGAGTGCTGTCTCAAGCTGCCCCAGCACCGGGTCATTCCAGCACTGCCGTGCTTGCTGGTGCCTCTCCTGCAGCTGACAGTGTGTGTGTTGCACTGCAGGCCATGCTGAACCTCCTGAACATGAGTTTTAGCATTCCTGGTGCACGGGGGCACAGCCTGGCTCATGGCCTGGGGTGCTGGAGGTGTGCAGCAAGGGTTAAATCACAGTCAGTCCCTGGCTGGGCTTTCCAGGAGTCCAGCAGTGATGTATGGGGACTCTCAGAGTTAAGCCAGTGACAGATTCTGCTAAAGACTTTCTTTGTGCTCAATCCCTGTCTATAAAATTAATGTTACTTATGGAAATGGGGATGCTATGTGTGACTTTTACTTCTCTTTAATGCAAAATTAAATGCTGCAGTATAAAGCAGCTGCTCTAGTATTTTTCCCTACTTACTAGAACAAGTACTCTGACAGGTCCTCATGGCATAACAGAGGGACACCTGCTGAGTATTTACATTTATTTATGCTCTTTTACTATGTGTAAAATGCAATTTTACCTAGACCCTATTATAAGCACTTGAATGAGAACTGGGAAATTATTAGTGTGTTTTTTCATTCCCAAGAATAACTATCAAAGTACAGCTCCTACACATTAGCACTTGCATTTCTGCCTCCAGCAGCTCAGTGAACAGAATTATTAATATAAACTTATGGTGGTTATTTAGCTGTACATCACTCTGTGCATTGAGAGGAGAGAAGAAAATCCTAATGCTTCATGTACCAGCACTGGGGTGAATTTTATCAGGCATGTGACTGTATAATCCCATGGCTCTAAGAGCAGATCAAGTCATCTAGGAAGTATTTGACATAGTTCTGCTTTTAGCTTTTGCATTTAGGAGAACACATATCAACAAGTAAAAATAAGACCTTATTTTTGAAGTCAGTATTGAGGACCAGCTTCTCAACTGCTATAAATGTGACTCTATTATTATTATTATTACTGTTATTTACCAGCAGAAAATCTGATCAAGCTTATGAAAGGTACTTAAAAAATGACAGACTGCAAAACAAAACCACAGGTGCAATTTTGCACACAAGTATCAAATCCAAAATGGAAAATCTGGAGATTAAGCATGCAGACCTCAAAAAAAATCACTGCAGAACTGGCCACTGTGGACAATTGATAGCGATTTGAGAGACTGATTATGAGCCTGTTGTAGTTTAACTATATTGACTGGCACTCCTGTGATAGTTGCTTTATTAAGCATAGTCATTTTGATCATTAATTTCAGCATGAAACGGTTTTTACAGAGGCTTTTGTGCATTAGCCTAAGTGATTCTTCACTAAAGAGAGAAATCAGTATGTCAGTGTGGTACTGGACATCTTTGAAGTTTGCAAAATTTAACTGCCCAGATGTTTCATGAAAGGCTTTCAATTCAGATATTATTTTCAGCCTGGCTGCCTACCAGAAAATAAATACGCTTCAATTTTTCATGGAGCCAGGAGAGTCTGAGAGAGTTTTTCTGCTCTTCCCTGCCCCCTGCCTGGCTGCTGCTACCGAGGTGCCAGAGTGACACCGCGTGGCCAAGGGAGAGGCAACACAAACTTTAGGAATAGTAAGAAAATGTAACTTCCATCCCAAATACACATCAGGACTTTACACGTCTTGTTGCAGGTCTTCAGAAATAATCTTTGCTACAGTTCCATTATTTTTATTTTCATACATGTATATATTAAGCCCCAAATACTAAGAAAGAAAATTCAATTTATTTACTTATTGAACTAGGAAAAAATACCAGATTCATACAATGAGATTTAAAAAAAAAATAAAAATTACACTTTCCTGGAGTCTTTTAAATATTATTTTACTATTCACGATAATTTCTCTAACAATTTTTAAGGAATCCTTTTTTCCTTATAGAAACACAAAATAACTTAAGCTTTCTCATCCATCTGCCAATTTTATATGTTCTACACTGTTTTGGTTCCTCTTTTTATCCTTTTGCCTGTCACCAAAGGATGCTGAGTAGTTTTCCAGGAATTCAGTAGTTCCAGTACACCTCAAGAAGAGATTCTGAGCTGGGGGCCCCAGCAGGAAGCTGCTCACAGAGATCCACGGATAACCTGCAGGGGAAAAAGGACTGGCCTCCCCTGTCATCCCTCCGTGCCACCAACTGCAGCGTTTTAGAGCCCTGCTCTTGTATGAAGGAGTCAAGATGGGACCCCCTCTCATTTTTTACACAAAAAAAAACAACCCCACCTGCTTCTGAAAGACCAACAATTGGCAGGAAAAGTGATAGTTAATGTGTCTTGTGCAGAGAAAAGCAGTGGATGGACAGCAAATGGAAAGGAGGGAAGGTCTTTTAGCCCCAGGGGGGTTAGACAGGCACATGGGCCTTGCTCAGCAAGTCCAAACTGTCATGGGAAAAGCATGTTCCTCAGGCTCAAGGATCCATGCTGGAAATCACCCAGATCCCTGGGTCTGGCTCTCAGTCAGACATTTTGCCTTGCATTTGGCCAGGTATTTTGTGAATTTTATGCAGGCTTTTTTAAGAATTCAATTTTTTGTCACTTAAAATCTAAATCCTTCTAATCTAAACCCTTCAGAGGTCAGCAGAAAGGTTTTCATTAAATTCAAGGAACTGAATATAACTATTGCTGTAAAGCCAGTAATTATTCCCCAGGGCATAATGCCTGTCACTTCAGCAATTTGGAGAGACCAGCTCTCGCCTCCAATTCCTCCATTAAAGGCAGCCAGGCACCTGTACTGGAGATACATGTTTGAGATCACTCAATTAATCTGTTAGCAGCAGCATCAATAGCCTGCTATTGATTCAAACACAACGAGAATATATTGAAATAGCCATGCAGAAGTAAAATATGCCCAACAACAGAGGAGAACACCCAGTACCCTGCTGACATTTACACATGAGGAGACAATGCTTTATACAGGAATACAGTGGGAACAAAATCAAAAGCCATTACCTGGAATGAGCCATTGATGCAGCAGATGTAAACCAGAGCAGCTGGTGGTCAAAGCAATGGGAAATTCTTAGATTGCTCCATAAATTGATGCAGCTTGTCAGAAAATAAGACAAGGAGCTTGGTGGAGAAGAAATAGTCAGGCTTAATGAAAGTAGGGCCTGTATATCAGTGTTTCATTATTCCCACTCAGTCTTTACAAACCCAATATAAAATAAAATCAAACAGAGGAAGTGGTAGTGCTGTGCCTTTGTGCAGGTCTGTGGGCACCAAGAAGGAAATAGTGCTGGTCAAAACTGGCTGTTCAGAAGTAACCCCAGATACCAACATGGGAACACTGGTAAGTTCCCAGTCATTTGCTGCTTTAAAGTAATTTTAAGTGTAGCAAATGCAATTGGACTGAGTAGGTGTCTTCTTTCTGACTCAGCAGGTGCATTTCCTATGCCCTCTGAACCAATACAAAACTTACACCTACCACACACTTCAGCAGCTTGCTAGCACTCAGCAACTTGAAAAAAGCCCAACCCACTGCCAAAACCCCAGTTTGATCCTGTGTAAAATCCTATTCTTGTGTACACAAAACTTTTTCACCTACATTACTTTTTAATGGTATGGAGGACAAGCAAGTGAAGTCAAACACCAAATTAAGTTTATCACTTTCAGCTGGGGTTTACTTGTGCTCTAGTAGAAAACAAGATAATGAGCAGCCGTAGTACCAGAGGCAATACTAATGCAACATTACATTATAGAACTTCATTTTAGACAGGAGCACATTGCTTTTAAATTAATTTCATCCCCAGTTCTTACAACATTCAGAAGAAAGCTACTGCAACAGGTGTCAGTAAATGGGTCTGATTATCACCCACAGGGGGATAAATCCCCAAAGTGCAGAGCATGCTCAGTTTTCACTGGAATAAAATTGAGTTTTAGGTGGTCAAAGCTTGAAGACCACAAACCTTCCACATGCTAGGTGCAGGCAGCAGGGCAGTGAGCAGGAGCAGATGATAATTTCAGTAAAGGAAGTGATTTGCCTCACTGATAACTTTGCCTCATTGATGGCAGCGGAGCTGTGCCAGTGAGTCAGGTGTCTCAGGGATGTTCAGCACCTGATCTCACTGAGGCACAGACAGTATTGTGCTCCCCTGCCCCTCCCCTTCCTAGGAGCACTATAATAGCTCCTTCAGAGCTACAGTGATGGCACAGCAGCTGTTACAGTGCCTGGCTAAACAAGAAAGATTGCAGACTTGGGCTAAGTTATTGTTTGAAAAGCTCACTTTGGAAATTTTAGTACTTAAGTTGTTAGTTCAGATAGGCTAAAGCATTCCCCATATCATATTGGGCTGAGACAGACACCAGGTTACTTACAAAACAAAAATAAGGCTTTACCAGTACTGCAATAAAAAATATTTAGTTTGCTCAGCTGAAGTCTTTTCCACACACAGAACCTAGTCTGTGCATTAGCTTCTGATTTTAATGCAGTTACTGGCTGGTTCCCCTCTTTTTCTACACCAAGGTAACCAATTAGCAGCAACAATTACAAATCTCTCGGCCTGTAAAGCCTGTATCAAGTTACTGCATGCAAATAGAGACAAATTAGGTCCCACTTTGTCTTGAAATTGAATCCTTTCACTGGTGTTAACAGAAAGGAGTCAGGCATCACAATCTTCTCCCCCACTGCCTTCAATTAAGTGACTTAGCTGTATGATTTAAAAAATCCTCTCCTTCTCAGTGCTCTGCTATCAAATGATTCCATTAAGCCAAGTTTCCAGTATTTCTGGAGATTAAGAAGCACTTTGCAGAGAACAGTGGTAACAGCCCAAGTGGTATTTACCTCTCACCATGCTGCTTGTTAACAAAAGCTCTAACAGTTTTAGCTACTCATGGACACAAGATAAGATGAACTGGATGGATGTCATCATCTCCACTGCTTATAGTGTCCAGATTCAGCAGCTGTAGGACAGGGCTCCTACAAACCTCACTGTTTACAGAGTTCATAGCAGTGCTTTCACATACCTGATTTAGAAATCTAAATACTTTCAGTACTGTTCCCCACTGTGCTGCAAGCCTTAGCCCCAAGCAGCAAGGAAAGGAGCACAACAGTGCCTAGAGCCAATAAAACTTAGACCAGATGTACACCCCATCCCTATTGAGGTGTCTGAAGGCCAGTGAAGGTAGGAATTGAAAACTAACACACAATCCATTATTAGGACACACCTTTGAACTTTATTTGAACATTTCACAATATTCTCACCTGTTCAGTTAAATGCCAGGGAGCTTTAAAAAGCTTCTGCTTTAATTATGAAAAAGTCTGGAGCCATGTGGCTTCTCAGTTTATGATTATAATTCCTAGGAGTTCACAACAGCCAACATCTTGGTAAATTCTTGGGCCTCCAAGATAATAACAAAAACACAGAGCAAGGGACTTATCTCAAATAATGATTTGCAGCTATCCTGAAAAACTCAAAATCAGTTTGGCCATCCACACTTTTGTAAGTTGCTGTTCTTCAGCGTATCTCAGTGTCCTTTGGCACATCAGTTGCCATGCTCAAGTAAAACTGTAACTGACATGACACTGAAACAACTCAAACTTGAGAATTTCCTACTATATCAGGAACAACCATTTAGAAGTTTGGGTTAGCACCTTTTTTAGCCAAGTGGTGCCTTTCCAGTGCATTCCAAAGAAAACAAGAAATCCTTCTGTAGAGCAGCTGTGGCCTGGAAATAAGTTCAGTCCTTCACTGGGGTTAAAGCTTTATTTATAGAAAGTTGACTGCATTAATTGCAGCAATATTTGCATTGTATTTGAACTCAGCACTAACAGGTTAATATTTACATTTAGATAACACTTAAACCAAAACAAACTGAATACAGCCAATCTTAAGAGCAAAAAGACAGACATACAAATGACAGACTTAAGAGTAAAAGTAATCACAATTATTTCACTCTGGATGACTTAGTCCAAAGCTCTATTTCTTAATCAGATTAGCAGGAAGAGTGGATTTGTCCAAATCATCAAAATATGGATGGTTCAAGGCCATTTTGCCAGAAATCCTTTTTGCAGGATCATAAATTAACATTTTCTGGAAGAAGAAGAAAAAAACCACATTTACTCCCTCAGGAAATGTGAGCTAAAATCACGTTAAATAGATAGATACTTAACAATAATAACAATAAAGTAACTGCAAAGACATTTTCCCCCCTATGTTCTGTGCTCTCCTAGTTGGAAAGTTATTTCCCCTACAAGTCAGTAGCAGTGTATAACATCTCAGAAGATGAAGAATTCCATTTACCCCCTGTTCAATGACCAAGCCCTCGCCTGTGTCTGGGTACCACATCCACTGAATGAAATCCAGAACCAGGCAACCAAGCAGCAATAATTGTCTCAGCCTCTTACTGAGGGAAATTCATAAATTTTAGGCTGGTAAAGGCCTAAATGTTTACACAGACATGTGGTCTGACCCTTGTTTTGTTACTGATATTGAGCAAAGTGACATCAAATGGCTTCAGCTCAGGTTGGTGACTTGACCTTAAAATAAGAGAATGCTCACTCAGTTTTAAAATCCAAATTGGAAAGTAGACTATAAGCAGGTAGAACTGAAGGAAACAGTTAACACTTGAGTCTCTTTGCAATAAAATACTTCAACTGAATATACCTCAAAGGTGATAAGAGCAAAAAGAGGGGGTGGCACAGCCATTAAAATAACCCCCAGAAGTTTCTAAAACTGGAGGAAATTAGTTTCTTTTTTAATGGCTAGAATAACAATCTATAGCTCATACAAGGGGTGAAAACAGGAATGAAGCATTCAGCAGTTTTGTACTAGACAAAGTCTTTTTATTTCTCCTTAATAAAGGACAGACCATTTCAAATTCAAGTAATCAGGATTCCACCAGCTGCCTCTCCCCTGTCTGAACAATAAATCTGTTTTCCATAACAAAACTTAACTAGTCTTACTCTGCCCAGTATTCAGTCTTGACATTTAATTATCTTTACACTTCATTCTACAGGGAGTCTTCCAGGTTGATTTAAACCACTGAATTTGCATTTATTCTCTGAACTTCTGCCAAATGCAATGCTGCCTCTAGATTTAACCTTGCATGTCCAGTTTTACCTTGTGGCAGACCTAGAACAGTGTCCTATAGTTAATTCTGATATCAAAGGTTCTCTCAAAATTGACTCAAAGAGGGGAATTTCTCTGAAAAAGGGATGCTGTGACACTGAGACTACAGCACCACAACTGATAGAGCCAAGTGAAGGAAACTTCTCTGAGCAGTCTGGAACATTAGTTTTCCCTGGCACCTACTGTCCTGATAATTCAAAGTTTTTGAGGACAGCCACCAAGTGCTTTGAAATGCTGGCCATAGAAGTAATTTAGCTTATGAAGTCTTAAACTCACAACCTCACTCATGCAATTTGAATTACACATTTTTGTGTTAAGATATTTTCAAAGGCATCTCCTTTACATATATCTGCAATAGTCTATAGAAAAAAATTTAAACATTGAAACATTTTCATTGACATATCTGAGCTTGTACTCTAGAACAAACTATTTCGGTTTGTTGTCTTTAAAGTTATATTATGGGTTTAAAAGGCTTAAAAGTGCCCTAGGAAACTTAAAGGGATTCCAGTCAGGAATACCATGTCACCAGGCACTGATAGAAACTAAAATGTTAACATCAATTAAGGCAGAGCTGTACAAGACTTTAGAGAATTTAATATGCTTTGAGACTAGAATTATGTTAACACCATGAGGAACTAGTACTTTTTTTTTGCCTTTATTAGCAGCAGCCCCAACCACTGGCTTCAGAGTGAAGCCCCACCCAAGCTCAGATGAGCCCTTGGCAGGTCCTTTTCATGCAGCTGTTTTAACAAGATTCTCCTGCCTGTTCTTTTCATTTTAGTTTGTAAATAGAGTCAGCAACAATTACTTCAAACTGATTTAATAAAGATGCTGTCAGGGGTCTTATCTCTGTAAGACAACTGCTGCAAAGCTCAGAGCTATCCAAGACAACTACATGTTCAACAAATGCTCAGGCTGTCAGTGTCAACTGGGGCTCTGCCCCCCCAAAAAAACTGCGAGAAATTTTGATAATTTGAGCTTTTTGGGTAACACTGCTTCATTCAGAGTATTCTGCCACATTACCAATGAACTGCTGATGTAATGAACTGCTTTGTGACTGCTTACAGCCAGGTACACAGGTACTGCTGGATGAGGGGGTTCTGAAATGTCAGCTCCTCTTGAGACACACAGAGCAGCCAACCCACACCTCCATCTGTAGGTCTGCACTGTACAAATGCAGCTTTAGAACAGGCAAAGGACAGCCCAGCCATATTATTATACCTCAGGACATCTAAGAGCACACCTAAGATGTGACCTAAATTAGCTCTCAGTGGCTGCACATGAGCTGGAGAGCACTAAATGGAAAAGACTGATGAAGAGCTTGCCAATTAAAAGCCTGGTGTGGTAGTTTAATTGCCTGGCTACAGAAGTAAAGGAAACTCACACTAAACACAAAAGATACCAATTAAAAGTTAATACACCACAGCCAAAAATATTTAGCTCCAAATTTAAGGGCAACTGAGACAGACACTACAGACAGACTTGAACTAAGTTTCTTGTCTCAGCTAATCAATACATTCAGCTGTTTCTATCCTTCTTTATCCAGTTAAGACATCATGGAAGTTTAACCAAGATGAGCCCACCAAGATTAATCCACATGCTACCATAAAATAAATATTTCCAACTGGCTTGGCAGTCACACAGCCACATCACAAGTGGTGCTGGCAGCAGAAAGGTGACAGCTACTTTATGGGCAGAAGCCTTCACTTAAACCTCTTTATAAAGACTAATCCTCACTTGTAAGTTGTACCTAGCTTATTATTACAAAAAAACTGATGCATAATTGCTTCATGTGAAATATAGTCTGGTATTACTTGTGAAAGGAATTAATGTCACACAAGGTGTCAGTTCTACAAGAATGAAGGCTCATACCACTGCTGATAGCTTGAAGATCTCCATATTTTCCTTCTAGCTATGACTGATGAGTACAGCTTTGTGTATCCTAGAGTATTTCAAAAAGCCCACTCAGGTTCTTAATCAGCAGTTTAGGACAGACTACTTACAGCCAGCAGATCAAGTCCATCTTTATCCAAGTTTTTGACATGTGTTTCAAGGCTGACAGGTTTCCATTTTGGGAATGTGTTTTTATAGTCTTGCAGGGATTCCACCTCAGGCCATACCTCGTTGTTGGGGGTCCCTAAAGCTCTGTGCAAGCATAAGCAAAATGTTAAGCAATTTAGTCTGAAATCTGTTATGTGCTACTACACTTTTAATTACACACAACTTGCGTGGTGCCACACAGGTAGCAAGCAAAGGTTCAGCCTTACACACCTGAAGATTCTGAAGATCTGGTCAATCTCTGAATCTCCATGGAAAAGTGGCTTTTTAGTTGCCAGCTCAGCAAATATGGTTCCTATGCTCCAGATATCTACAGGAGTAGAGTAACGAGCAGATCCCAGCAGCACTTCTGGAGACCTGTACCACAGTGTCACTACCTGTAAAACAAGGAAAGGTTCAGTTTGTGGAATCAGGTCTTTTAATTGACTGCAAGATAAATGGCTCATTTGTTATTAAGCAGCATTCACAGTTTTTTGCTAAAAATACCAGTGCTATAAGTTTTAGTGGAAGTGTAATACTAGTTTCAAGCTTCAAACCAACTCCACTGCAGTAGCTTCTACTTCAAGAAAAGCAGCTGCCTGCATAACTTCCCTAAGAGCAGGAATCCTTTGGCACCCAGCCACAAAACCCCTCAAACCCAAGTGCTGTGCAAAGCAAAAATGCCTTTATGAGACAGTGAGCAATAAGTTTGAGTCCATCTGACTCACTCTGAGTGGGATTCATAAAATGTTTTGGAACCTTAGAGCGAAACCACAGTCAGTAGTGGCAAACTGTTTGGGAAAACAAAACACAACTTTTTCATAGTTTTGTTAGCTTATGGCTTGAAAAAACTGATTTTTTTAGCTGTTTCAGAATCAGCTCTTAGCAGGAAGCAAGTACACACTATCCAAACCACCAGAAGTGTGTCCCAACTCACTTCATGCGTGTAGACCCGCACTGGAATTCCAAAGGCTCGGGCCAATCCAAAGTCTGCCAGTTTAATCACTCCCTTGTCATCTATCAGGAGATTCTGAGGTTTCAAGTCTCTGTGCAGAACTCTTCTGGAGTGGCAGAAGACAATGCCTTGCAAAATTTGGTACAGATAACTCTAGAAGGGATGAGGTGGGAGGAAAGAAAGAAAGAAAGAAAGGAGTTACCTTCAGTACATGTCAGTGTCCTGCAACACAAAGGTGTTCCCTTCATTAGCTCTCCCCACAGCAGCAGGAAATGGAGATCCAAAGCATTGCAGATACTGAGTTAGTACCAATCAAAAAGCTACACAAATTAATTCTGAAGATTAGTTTAAGGCAGTTTAATCTCACTAATTAAAAGATTTTCAAGTGGCATTTGAAAGCAAAACTCACATTCTTCTTATTATCTGCTGCTGCTTATTTAACCTTTCATTTCTCCTCAAGGAGTTAATTACACTGAATATAAGAGCTGCTCATGTTTTAGTAGGTCATCAGTAAATTCCCTCTTAGGTTAAGAAATTGTCCTCCTTACCTTAACACGTGAACGCTCCAAATACTGGCCAGATGGAATACTATCCAAATATTTCTTGAGATCCATGGAAAGGAATTCAAAGACAAGGTACAGTCTTGAATCCTGCATGAGAACATCCTGAAGACTAAAAATTGAGTATACAATTACTTCCACTCCAAAATGCATGAACTCCCATTTCTTTTCTCAACAGGGATACAAGCTGATATTTCCAGATTCCTATTATGGAAGTCTAAAAGTCTTCAAACAACAGACTTGGTGAGTTATACTGTCAACTGGAAAATCAAGTGTATCTAAAATAGTGTCAAATTGAGATAAAAGCCCACAACCTTCCTCTTAAACTTATGTTCTCTCAAATCAGACACAGGAGTCTGAAGAAAAAATACTTTTGCCATTAAAAAAAAAACAAGTCACCCCTGTGGGTGTTGGTGCCTAGCTTCTCTTTGAAGCTGGCTTGTCACAGAAGAGCCTGAATTGCTAGGAACTTAATGGAATACTTAATAGGAATCCAGTAGACACAGCAGGATTTGCACACATTTTTAAGTATCTTCTCCATCCTTACTGGAGTGTAAGGGTTCCTAAACCCAAACATACACACACTGAGACACCACCTGGCTGGAACCCGGCCAGTTTTAAGACACATTAAAGTATTTTGCTGCATCAAAGAGCAAGCAAATATGTTGTGGGAAGACAATGGCTGCAATAATTTTTACACCTCAAGCAGTCACTGATGGAAATTTCACTCATAGCTCAGTTGTGCCAGCTATGACAGCATCAAAACACATCTAAATTCCTGTTACAGAACAGCAGGGAGAACACCAGAACACTCAAGTCAAACAGTATTCCAAGGTGGTAAATAAACTTCTGAGTCTGCCCAAAGTAACAGCTGCAGCCAGTTTTCATGAGGTATGCCTCCATTCTCACAATAACCATTCTGAAAAGAATTTACAGAAATTCCTAAATTAACAAAAATTTGTTAGATTCCTAGAATGAAGAGGCAGCATGAGGATGGTTTAATTAGAAAACTGGCATAAATATGGAATTTAAAATATTTGCTGCAAAGCAGACACTATATTAAGCAGAGAGGTTCTCACCTCACTAGATGAGTGGAAAAATAATTTATGACCTGATGGGACCTAGTGCCCCTCCAAGAGTTTAGCTAAATACCAGTATGTGCATACCAGACTATATTGGGATGATTCAGCTCTTTTAATAAAGAAATTTCTCGGATAGCAGTACTTGGAACACCTTCCTCCTCACTTTCTAGACGTATTTTCTTCATTGCAACCACTTGGCCTGTGGTTTTGTGACGACCTTTATACACAACACCATAGGTACCTGAACAAAAAGACAGTGAAACAAATATAGGAAGTACCAGCTTCAGGTACAAATGAATTATTGCAAACACGAGCTGCTACGTAGGAAAAGTGCTTAAAAATGGAGTATTGGTTTAGATTACAAACTACTACTTAGCTCTACTTAGTAGAGTTAAACTGAGCAATATTTCTGTTTGTTTAAGGAATGCCACCCATGAAGTGTAGCATTTGTTAGGACAGGGCACTTAGAAGCCCAAGTGTAAAAGGTGAATATTTGGAAGACGTAGTTATAAAGTCTGACACTATTTGAGTTTCAAGCAGATTAACTTTCAGGCAATATCATCATAAAGGACTATGATTTTGCCAATGATACATCATATTAAAATGCTAAAGGTTTAGCTGCAAATGGAAGTAATGCTCCTGCAGTCTGAGATCCAGCCATCCATGGGTGTGAGCTGTAGAAACACCTTTGGCACAATGCTCAGTGCAGGACAGAGGCTAGTGCTGTGGATCTCAGCAGAAATTGGAACCAAGAGTAAATCTCAAATCAATCCATCTTAATTATCCGTGCTCACAGAAGCAGAACTCTCAAACCAAGAAGCACAACCCTTCTTTTTACCATTCTTGAAGCATTAATTGCTCACATGAAGCCCAAACTAGTTTATTTCAGAAAGATTCAGGCACAAGGCTTTGGTTACAAGGCTTTGTTGCAAGATCCAAGCACACCTTTTGCTATAGCCTCAGAGTGGGCAATCTCAGAGCAATGTACTTCAAACTCTCAGTTTATAAACACCGACTTCTACAGTGATCACAGGCCAGGTTTCCAGTAACGGGGGTTGTGACCAACACCTGCACTGAAGCCATCCTCTTAGTGCCTCAATGTGAAGTAACTGTTAAAAAATCACTTCTCCGCAGAGCTTTGCTATCTTGCTTTCCTTTTACACCTGCACTGCCTGTATATCATCAGAGCAGAACAATCCAGAAAACACTACTCCCTACCAGCAGCTCCAAGGAAAACAACACATTGCTCAACTTCAGGGGCAACTGGTAAATTCACACTCAAGAGAAATGGGGGAGCTTCCTAAACTGTAAGCTGTTTTCAGGACTCAGAACACATTTTTTCTCCCTTCTGAAGGAATGTTACACCGTTAGCCATCAAAATGAAGGCAGACACTTTTCAACACTGGTCAGCTGTTTTTAAAAAGACCATGTCACTTTCCAAAAAAAAGGGGCAGGCTGAAAGTTTTTGCAGATATACATAACTACCACAGTAACTAAGCCACAGGCTTATTTGGCCACTAGGTTGAATCTCAGTGTTTCCTGTTTCAGGCAGAGTGCACAGATCTTCTGGGACACTTCAGAGCTCAAACTGTGGAGCATTTAAAAGCTCACTGCTCCCCATGCTTACCTTCCCCAATCTTCTCTATTTTCGTGTAATCATCCATTGTTGTGGTTATCCCTGAAACAGACGGGAAAAAGAAACAAAATGAGGGTGAACAGTTGCTGTCCTGAACACAGACAAGTCACCGGACCTGTGCCAAGCCTTTAGAAGCGAGTTGTGCCTCACATAATTGAGACGTAATGCGAAACACTTAACTGCTCTCACCAACAGAAACACACAACACGTTTATTCCAAATTCCAGCTACAAAAACTACACCCCAAGCTACGAGAGGGCAGCGATTCCAAGGCGAAAAGAAAAAAAAAAAAAGAAAAAAATCTTTGAAGAAAGCCCCTCCAGGGAGCTGAGGAAAGCGCACCCTGCTCATCACTTTTACCTAACTACGGGCTCAAGAGGAGCGAGCTAGAACCAGGAGTGGCACTGGGGGACACTCCGGAACCGGGTGTCAGCCACGCCAGGGGACGCGGGCCCAGCGGGAGGCCGGGACGGGCACCAGCTCCGGGGGTTACGGACACCGAGCAGAGCCCGGTTCCCTCGGCCTGCGGGCGGCTGCCGGCTCGGTGCAGCGCAGCCCCCGCGGCGCTCCCCGCTCGCTGCGCGGCGCTCCGGGGCGCTCCC